TCCGGAACGGTCCTGTCGCCGCACCACTCCCCGCGCCCGGCCGTCGACGGCGTGGTCGAGTCGTCGGCCTGCCTGCCGAGCACGGCGGATCCGAGGAGTAAAATGTTGGGACATGTTGCGGCGACTGGACTCGGCGAAACTGAAATCGATCGCATGTAGCGCTCGATGTAGATGTAGCGGCTCGGCGGTGCGGCTGCGGCCGCACTGTGCAATGGCGCCTGGATGACAAATAGAAGCCTGCCAAGCAAACAAGGCTCCCGCTGTGACGTGGGTACGGTGGGTACACACTCACTCACACTCAGTCGCGGAAGGAATGTCAAGGTAGTGAGTAGTTGCTCGCGAGGGAACACGGACAAGACAGGACGGCTTAGTGGCGGCGCGGTCGGAGCCGCGGAGCCGCGGAGCCGTGTGCTCTATGACGACGGTCTAAAGCCGGATGAGAGCAAGCCGTCCGGAGTGGAGAGCTCTTGGCCCGCCCTGCGCCCTGGCCGGCCCCGCGCGGCCCCGCCTGGCCTGGTTCTCATTCATACCAAGTCGGCCGGCGGCCCCCGTGGCCCCCCCTTTGGGGGTGGCTCGCTTCGGCCCGCTTCAGCCCCTGCTTTGGGGCTGTGGCTGTGCATGCAGGTGGAGGTAGACGCCGGCCGGGGCTTTTAGAGTGCACTTACGGATTGGGTCGGTCGACGCGGGGCGGACGGGCGGCGGCCGGCGGGCGGGGGGGGGGGGGGGGGGGGGTGTTGTGAAGCTGGACGGACATGGTCAGGGCGGGATGCAAACTCTCCCCGTCCGTCTATGCTGAGCTGTGGGTAGTGCGGCCACCCCGCGCCGCATGGCTTTCACGCTGGCGAGGACGAACCCATCGGAGTTGGCAACCGCAGCGCAGGCAGTGCAGGTGGCGCAGGCCGCGGCGCACGCAGTACAGTGGGCCAGAAGACCGGTGGAGGCGGTCAAAACCCCGGACGCGTTTCGAGCTCCAGAGTCGCTAAATGGGGCTCGAACCGAACGTGTGACCCCACCTATGGATTGCTCTCCGAACGTGGAATCCATTGGTGGGTCACACGCTCGATTCGAGTCCTGTTCAGCGACTCTGGAGCTCAAAACGCGACTGGAGTTTTGTCCGGCGGCGCCGGTCTTCTGGCCCACCGTGCGCAGCACGCGGACGCCGAGTGCATGCAATTGTTTATGGGCGGCGATTGGGCCGCGAGGCGAAGCGCGACGCCAAGAGCCAAGCAGTGGAGCGGACAGGGCGGCCGAGGCCCTCGCCGAGGCCCGTACAAGGCACGGTCCGGTTTGGCCATCAGCGCGACGCGAGCTTTTTTTGCGAGTCTGGTGCCAAGACAGGACTCGACTGGCTCGACTGCGGCCTGTGTGTGAGAGTGTGTGTGAGTGCGAGTGCACAGGGCAGGGTCGCGGAGGGCAATGCGCGCGTGGGCTGCGCGCGGCGGCAGGCGGTTCGCCGCGGCACGGCGTCATGATGGTGCTGGGCGTGGTGCCCGGTGACGCGTCGCCCTGTCCTGTCGGACTGACTCGGATGGTGGTCGCGCCGCCCTGCCGCGCTGCAGTTCGTCGGGGTGGCCGTGCTGCACTGCGCTGCCGTTCGTCGTACCCGGAGCCCCCAGCCCAGCGTGGCCCAGCGTGGCCCAGCCTAGCGCAAAACGCCCGCCGACTCGAGGGTAGGCAGGCGTGCCGCGCAGCGCGGTGTGGCGGGCCGGCCTACGCTGCAGGCGCTCCGCTGCACCGAAGTGCCAGAAGATCGGCGCGTTTTGAGCTCCAGAGTCGCTAAACCGGACTCGAACCGGACGTATGACCCCCACCAATGGATTCCTCGTTCGCAGAGCAATCCATCGGCGGGGTCACACGTTCGGTTCGAGTCCCACTCGACGACTCCCGAGCTCAAAACAACGTCCGGGACTTTGACCGCCTTCGCCGGTCCTCTGGCGCACTGTGCAGTGACTTGCCCGCCGTTGCCTCGACGGCAGGAGATTCACAATCGGGCTGAGGACATGTAGGCCGTCGTGGCGTCCGCGCGTCTGCCGCGAGCGCGTCGTTTGATGGTGCCGCGGACGAGGCGGACGCCCACGCCGTGGCCACGCCGTGCCGGGGACGGCGTCGTAGTGGGTGTCGCTGCGGTCCGGGCGCCGCCTTGCCGCCTTGCCGCCTTGCTCGTCGGGGCGGTCGGCGCCGAGCTCCTTGACGCCGTGAGGTCCGCGGGGGGCGCAGCGGCCTGGCGCAGCGCAGCGCCGTGCAGCCCGACCGCGGAGCGAGCAGCCTTTGTCCATAAATAATCGAAATCCACTTTCCAGGCCGCGGCTCCACGTGGCCGCGCCCCGCCCCGCCCCGCCCCCTCGGTCTAATGGCCCGGGCAGGCAGCCGTGGCGGCATTCATCAGCTCAAAATTGGAATTGGTTGGAATTGGGGCTAAAATGGTAAAATCCAGGCCGGTCGCGTTCCACTTCCCTTTCTTCTCCCGCCGTTTTGTTTGAATGACGGGGGCGTGGCTTGCCATGGCTTGCCGCGGAGTTCGGCGCTGAAACCCTACACCGGGAGTCTCAGAGACACGGCCCGCGGGCCAGATGGATCGGCCCGGCTGGCGAGAGGCGGCGTCATGAGACGCGTGCGTGCGAGGGAGAGGGAGGTCCGACCCCTGCGGCCGGAGACTCCGGGCCTGCACCATGCCGTGCTGCTGGATGGGAGCGCGCAGCGTGGCCGCGCGGTCCCGATCGGCGTTCGGCGATGATTTGATGGCGTGCGGCGAGGCATTGTGCAACGCCGCGCCACGCCACGCCAAGGCCGCCCCGTGGGCGTGTCACGACACTGATTCACTTTCACGTTGGAGTGTCGCGGCGCTGCGCTGTGAGATCACGCGGAACAAAACGGTGCCGCGGCGCCGCACAGTGGGCCAGGAGACCGGCGCCAGCGGTCGAAACTCTAGACGCGTTTTGAGCTCCAGAGTCGCTAAGCAGGACTCGAACCGAGCGTGTGACCCCACCATTGGATTCCTCGTTCGGAGAGCAGTCCATTGGTGGGATCACACGTTCGGTTCGGGTCCTGCTTAGCGACTCTGGAGCTCAAAACGCGTCTAGAGTTTTGGCCGCCTCCACCGCTGAGAAGGATGCTGGCCGGCCGCGGCCGCAACGTCCTTCCTGTTTAATTCACAAGTTTTGGCGCGCTCTGACGCACAGTAAATGTCTTACGGTGAAAGGCTGCACCAACATATTATGGTGGAGATTTTCTCCATAATACCAACGAAATTCGTTAAAATATCTATAAGGTACAGTGAATTCTCAATGGTATGTTACGAAGTCAGCTGCACCACCATAATATGGAACACTTTCACCATAATATGGAGAATCTTCACTGTAGAACATTTAGAGTGCGGGCCGGACTGGACAGGCCGGGCCTGGCCGGGCGCGCACGTGCCGGCTCCACTTGCCGTTCCGCTTCCTGCCGGGCTGCCGGCCGGGCGTCAAGGGCTCGCTGAAATATTGAACCGGACTCGGCTCGCTCGCTGCCTTCCCCCCGCCTTGCCCCCGTCCCGTCGTCCGGACGGTGTACTGGCTGAGCCACGGCTGAGCCGGGGCGAGCTGGCCGGGCGAGCCAGCGCCGTGGCGTGCCGTGGCGCGGCATCACTAAGTGACAGTGCGGCGCGAACACGGCACGCCACTCCAGCCTGTCACGCCGAGTCACGTCCCGCTGCTGGAGCCCCTGGAGCCTCCGGGCAAGCCTCCGGGCGACCTTCGCCATTCAGCCTTCAGCGGCTGAATGCGTGGCTGGATGCCGCCGATGCACTGCTGCCATGCAGATGCAGTTGCAACCCCCTCGGGCGTCCCCCCAGCCTCTGGGTATCTATCGCCAAGAAAGTGGGACTCGACGTTTCTCTGCGGGGCTTTGCGACACCTTCTAATTTGATACGGAAAAAGAGTTCCAAAATATATGGAAAATAATTGAAGAAAATTATTTTCGCAAAAGTACCTAAAGTATCAGAAAAGAAATGTGGATTCTGGACAGTTTGGAAATTTCTCAAGTTTGCCACAACAATCCAGCGGAAGGCATCCCAAGGCATATTCAACTTAAAAATTGAATTTAAAAAATAAAAATTGCTTTTCGAGTTGACGCTTGAGACGCTCCACCCACGCCTCTCTCCCCTTCCCTTGCTGCTCCCCCCCCCCCTCCCCTGCTGCTCTCCCTCCCCCTGGTGACTCCCCCAGTGACTGGCGGACTGCGCCCCGTTTAGACGTGACGGTCGCTGCTCAACTTTATCAACATTTTATCAATGCTCCAGTAGCCTGCCTGCCGGGCACAGCGGCACAGCGCGCTGACGGTCCAGATTTAGCCGGAGCTAACTTGACGTCGTGCCCCGATGGCTCTGCGCCGCTCTGCGCCGCTGCGAGGGGTTGGGGGCATTTCCCTACACGGTGCCCGTGTCAACAAAGGGAGGAAGCGGCTCTGGAGGGAGAGAGAGCGCGAGGCGCGCGTCCTTTTTCATTTTACTTCGCTTTTTCGACAGGCTTCTCCACTTTTTTGCCGCCCACCCGGTTTTTTCGTTTGCAAAGCTTCATTTTGGGCATTTCTCTTCAGAGGGCGTTTCGGCATGACCGCTCTCTGGAGATGGCCGGTACGGGGCGCGGCGTACGGGGTCAGGCTCTGTTTGACCGTGTTTGTTTGTTTTTTTGCCCCTTTTTTACTCGTCACACCTCATGATGGAGAGCGGGCACAGAAGGGCCAGAAGGGCCGACTGCCCATGAATATTCGCCGCGGGTGTGGGGACATTGGAAAAGGGGAGGGGGTTGTTGAAGAGGCCCTCGCGCGCGGCCCTTGTGAGGTTGATGCCAGCAGGGCGGCTGGCCGAGGATCGGCCAAAGAGTCGTTTTCGTCGCTCTGTTTCTCTCGCACCTATAAGGGGACGCTCCACGAGTGCGACAGAGAGGGACGAAAACGACTCTCGGAATCAGTCTGGCACCTCGACAATGACGTCACTGACCGTTCTTTGCCCTGTGTTTCAGGTGACATCACGCAGAAGGGCTACGAGAAGAAGCGCAGCAAGCTCCTGGGGCCCTATGTCGCCAAGCAGTCTGCTGGTGAGTTGGCTCGGCTTTGCACAGTAACAATGACGTCATTTCTTCCAACAGCGCGCTCCTCGCCGGCACCGGTACACTGTGAGAAAGGTCCCCGAGTCCTTTTCCGTGTCTCATTTAGATCCGAGACTGCTCCCGCGACGCGGACGAGCTACCCCCGGCGTTGTTCTGCACATAATAACATTAATCATTGCCTTGACTGCCGTTATCGAGTGTCCCCGCGCCAAGTGTCCCTTGTCAAGCTTACTTCTGCGGTCTTTTCTCACAGTGTATCGGACTTGTCTCACGTTTTGTGTTGTTGCATCCAAAACTCTTATCACCCACCCACCCACACCACCGCCGCCTCGGCTGGTTCCACCGTGTTCCACCTGTTTGGAGCACGCGGGGCGCTTCGCCTGCTGTGTCGTCGCCAGGACTAACCCCGCGGCGCGTGTGTGCGTGCGTGTGTGTGTGTGTGCCCTGCCTTGTTGTGTTGCCCGCGTGTTGTGTCGCGCACGACGCTGGTGGACTTTTGTGTGGGGTTGTCCTCGTCGGCCTGCCCCATGGCCTGCCCCATGGCCTGCCCCATGGCCTGCCCCATGGCCTGCTCTCACTCCCTCTGGCTTGCAGCAGGCGGCAGGCCCCCGGCGCCCGCGCCCACGTCCTCCCAGGGGCCTGGTGGGGTGCAGGGCCACGGCCGGGAGTCGTCGCGCGGGGGCGGCGGCGGCAGCAGGGACCAGGAGCAGTCGCGGGCCCGCCGCACGCAGCGCCGCGTCACGCACAACGAGAAGAGATACCACTCAGGTACACCGAGGACCGCGTCGTCGGCCCTCCGACGCACCCACCGACCGACCGACCGCCACCAGCTGGCTCATTCCAAGGGGTCGTTTGGTCGCTCTGTCTCTCTCGCACTCCTGGGGCGTCCCGAAGGAGTGCGAGAGAGACAGAGCGACGGAAAGGTCTTTCGGAATGAGGCGGCAGAACCGCGGGGACGCGCCGCGCTGGTCTCCATATGGGGTCCTCCAGGGGCGGCTCGACCTGCAGTGGGCCAGAAGACCGGCGCCGGCGGCCGAAACTCTGTGCGCTTTGTGAGCTCCAGGGTCGCTGAACAAGACTCGAACCGAGCGTGTGACCCCACCAACGGATTCCTCGTTGGGAAACAATCCATTGGTGGGGTCACACGCTCGGTTCGAGTCCCATTTAGCGACGCTTGAGCTCAAATCGCGCGTCCGGGATTTCGGCCGCTTCCACCTGATCTTCTGGCCCACTGTGCGGCCGCGCGATGTGCCGTGCTGCGCCGTGCTTGGAGGGAATTCCCCAGAGGGGAACCTGAGCCACGTTGTCCCGGGGAAATGGTGGCGCCTGGCCATGCCGATACCTCGATACACCGCAATACCGCCCACGCCACGCAGCACGCGACGCAAGCGGCGCGGCTAGCGGCGTGGCGCGGCGGAGGCTGGATCGGGGTGGCGCAGGTCGTTGTCGGACGTTGGACCGGCCCGTAGAGAGTGGCAACTGTGTGTGTGTGCGAATGCGTGTGAGTGTGTGCGTGTGTTTGGGTGTCCTCCTTCTCCGCCCTGTTGTAGAGTCGAGTCCTGGAACAGTTCTGGGACTCCAGTCGTAGAGTTGCCGCCTGCCATGACTAAAGCGCATGCCGATGCTACTTCCTTGTTGTTGTTGTCGTCGTCGTCGCTGTTTTTGTTGCTGCTGTGGTTTCTCACCCTTCTTCATTTCAATTTGTGTTTTTGTTTTCTGCTGCGCCGCATTCACGCTTGTTTTTGTTGTTTGATGTATGGACTTTTTTGTGTGTGTAGTTGTGGCCGTTTTTGGACTCTTTGCATGTCATTTGCCATGAGTAACATGCCCTAGTGTCGCACCCCTGATTAATTTTTTTCACACTAGCTATGAGTTTACACCGCGTAGCGGGGGTGTGATTGTTGATTAATACTTTGACAACAGTGTGTAATCACCAACCCATTTGTAATGTCACCCACCGCCTGCAGCAGCTAACCGACCGAACCGGGCCGCCGTCGCCAGGGTGCTCCTGTAGTGCATGTCTGTGTGCGCGGCACTGCGTGCGTGTGTGTGCTTGCATGTGACCAAGGCTTTGCCCACCATGATGCCTACAGGGACGGGCGCGCAATGCTCGCAAGGGGGCCCAGGCCTCGGCCCAGGCGCGGGGCCGGCGGGGCCGACGGGGCAGACCGGGCTGCCCTCGGGGTTGGGCGGCGCGGTGCCCGGCGCGGCGGCCTTGGCGGCCATGTCCATGGCGTGCCCCTCGAGTCCCGGGGCCAGGGCGCGGCGAAGGGGCAACCGCCGCCTCACTCGCAACGAGAGTCGGTACCACTCCGGTGAGTAGCGACGGCCAGCCGACGGCCAGCCGACGGCCAGCACACTGGCGCGCCGCCGGTACACTGAAAACAAAGAAAAAAGTCTTCTCTTCGCGATTCCCCTATACTGGACTGGTTCAGACACGGAATAAAAATGATTTGAGCATGGTGGACTGCATGTCATTTATTCGTTTACTTTATTTGATACACCACTTGCATGTTGCATGACTTTTTGAAACGCATGTTTTGAATTTTTTTGGGGTGTGGCTTTCGGCTCTAGCTGCTTTGTCAACAAGTCTACACTGTACAGTATACTGCATTCTCGCCTCCGTTCGAAGCAGGGCGGAGGCTTGTCTTACTCATTGTCATTTTCTCCGACCCACGGATGGGTGCAAGTGTAGTGCCCGTGCTGACACACTGTGTCATTTTGCAGAGGTGCGACAAGAGGCCGTGCAGCAAGCTCTGGCTGCCATGCAGAACCGGCCCAAGCCTTCCCTCCCCATGCCCTCCAAGAGGACGTCCGTCATGGCCAAGAGTCCGGACCGGGAGAGGCACGATTCAGGTTCGTCACACTTCTCGCCAATTTTTCTGAGCACTCGCCAACTTTGCCGGCGCGGCAGACGCTGCAACTCCCGTTTGTTGTGTGCAGCCTCGAGCACGGACGACGACAGCCTGGCCAACGACGACATCCAGAGCACGCCGGAGCGCGAGCGCGCCAGCAGGATCACGCCCGACACGAGCAGCACGGGGTCGGCGCGCGAGACGCCGCCGCAGCAGCGGCTGCACCGGCCGTCGCGCGGCACGGGCAACTCCAACGCCAACGGCGGCCCCGGCCACACGGTGTGGGAGGAGCGCGAGGACCGGGGCAAGCGGTCGCGGCAGGAGATCACGCAGTTGGCCGACGTCATGCACAACCTCAACCCCTGTACGTCTTCCGTGTCTTCGCTTCGGTCTTTGCAACAACAAAAATACGTTGATGGCTCGGGCTGGTCCTAACGTGCTTTGTTTTTCAGACTCGCAGCCCCCCGACGTAACCCACAACACGGCGGGCTCCTTGGCGGGCTCCAGACGCATGACCGGTGCCGACCGGGTGCACAGGTTCAGCCAGTCGAGGCACTCCGCGGCGTCCGAGGACAACATGGGCACCGTCACCAGCACCGGCCGCTGGAAGGTGTCTGCCAAAATACAGCAGCTTCTCAACACGCTGAAGCGACCCAAGCGTAGACCGTTACCTGAATTTTATGAAGACGATGACATTGAACTGGAGATAGCTGCCAACCCTAAAGACCCCAATGCACCTAAGCCCGAGGGAGGCACCATGACCCCGGCCATGGGTGAACAGCTTGTGGTAAGTTTTTAATTTTCCCTCAGGAGTTTTGAAAGAAGATAGAAACTGGGTGTATGTGTGCTTATGAATTTTGTACAGGTTCCTTCGGGTTTACCTCGAAATCTGGAGGCAGCCATTCAAAGATACGGCTCTGCCACCTACAAGGCTCCTGTTGCCACGGTTTTGGACCCAAATGGAAAACTTAGCATTACTTTAACTTATGGTATGTATATTTAAGAACTAATCTATTTTTTGCTTATTTTCCAGTACATGGCTTTGATTGAAATTTCGTTGTTTCAGGAAAACTACTGAGCCGATCACAGAAAATTGCATACACCCTATTAAACCGCAACTTCAGTAAGGGGGAAACTGTGTTGAAAACTGGCGATAGAGTCGCTCTTATTTACCCTAACAATGACCCCATCAACTTCATGTGTTCATTCTATGGATGCCTGCAAGCAGGCATGGTTCCTGTTCCTATTGAAGTGCCTATTACAAGAAGGGTAAATTATTTTTAATAATGATATGTCTGTGTTCAGTTTTGTTCTCAATATTCAGCTTAATTTGGTTTTTTAATTACTTCATTTGCTTTGTGCAGGATGCAGGCTCCCAACAGATTGGTTTCCTCCTTGGCAGCTGTGGAGTTCAGGTAGCACTGACCTCCGAAGCTTGTCTGAAGGGCTTACCTAAAACAACCGCTGGCGATGTTGTTGCATTCAAGGGATGGCCTAAACTACAGTGGTTTGTGACTGAACATCTTGCTAAAACTCCTAAAGACTGGCTCCCTCCACCAAGACTAACTGATGACACACCTGCTTATATTGAGGTGAGAGAAAAAAATGCATACCTTACTGTAATTTTTGAAAGTTCATAGCTAACCACTTTGTTCTCTTTATTTTCTAGTACTCAACTGACAGAGATGGCTCTGTAATGGGAGTGACTGTGACAAGGGCCGCCATGATGACCCACTGCCGTACTTTGACGATGGCTTGTAACTACACCGAAGGCGAGAACATGGTCTGTGTACTGGATTTCAAGAGGGAGGTTGGCCTCTGGCACTCTGTCTTGACCTCCATACTGAATGGAATGCACATCATTTTCATTCCTTACGCCTTGATGAAAGTGAACCCCGCAAGCTGGATGCAGATGATCACAAAATACAGAGGTAAGTGTTTTTGCAATTATCTTTTAATGTGCCCACTAAAGTTGTATTTTTAAATACATCTCCATATTTACTCTGCTCACTCATCATGTGCTTCTATGATTGCAGCGAGTGTTGCGGTCGTGAAATCCAGGGACTTGCACTGGGGCTTACTTGCCACCAAAGATCATAAGGATATCTCCCTTACATCTTTGAGATTATTACTGGTAGCAGATGGAGCTAACCCTTGGTCTCTATCATCTTGTGACCAGTTTCTGAGTGTTTTCCAGAGCAAAGGGCTCAGGCCAGACGCCATTTGTCCTTGTGCTAGCTCTAGCGAAGTGTTGACTGTATCAGTGCGCAGGTAATAGACATTCTGCAAAAACATTTTGCTGCTGTTTAATTTTTAATCTAGACTGATGACAATGCTGTTCCTTTTTAGGCCTGGAAGAGCTGGAGTCAATGCAACTGGTCGAGGAGTTCTGTCCATGTCTGGTTTAAGTTTCGGTGTTGTTCGGGTAGATCAAGAGAACTCTCTCACTTCACTGACCTTGCAAGACTGTGGTCAAGTTATGCCTGGTTGTAAGTAATCTTTATTATTATGAAGACTACTAAGTCTTTACCTATTTTTCTGTTATGACATATCTTGTTTAGAAACAAAAATTAATGGAAGTCACATGTTACAGGTGTGATTGTGGTTGTGAAAATTGAGGGCACTTCTTTCTTATGCAAGACCGATGAAGTTGGAGAAATCTGTGTGAACTCTGGCGCAACAGGAAATCAGTATTGGGGTCTACAGGGTCTCACTAATAGTACTTTCAAGGTTTTACCTCTCCAAGCTGATGGTACACCCCTGGGTGATGCTGAATATGTTCGGAGTGGTCTGCTTGGCTTCCTTGGCCCGGTAAGAACGAAGAGATAATAATGTTTCTCAAGCATTTTATGAGCAGTTTTTCATCTAAATGTGATTGCACTTGCAGGGTGGACTTGTTTTTGTTTGTGGATCACGTGATGGATTAATGACTGTCACGGGAAGAAAACACAATGCAGATGATATCATAGCCACAGTCTTGGCTGTAGAACCAATGAAATTCATTTATCGCGGAAGAATTGCTGTTTTTAGCATTAGAGTGCTACGAGATGAAAGAATTTGCGTCATTGCAGAGCAGAGACCTGATTGTAGTGAAGAGGAGGTAAGCCATTTACTACGACCAGTATTGTTTTCATTGCTCCTTGCTGTCTGCTCTAAATGAAACATTTTTGTTCCAGAGTTTCCAATGGATGTCGAGAGTTCTACAGGCTGTTGATTCAATTCATCAAGTTGGAATCTATTGCCTTGCTCTGGTTCCGCCAAACTACCTTCCTAAGACACCCCTAGGAGGAATCCACCTTTCAGAAACAAAGCGAAGATATCTAGAAGGAACTTTACACCCAGCTAATGTTCTACTGTGCCCTCACACATGTGTGACAAATCTTCCAAAGCCTCGTGAAGTGCATTCTGGTACGTTGACATTTGCGTTCATTCATTGCAGACTACTTAAGAAGATATGTGTTTACTTTTTCTTATCATTTTGACATTTCAATTAAATAACTAAGTAATATTTCTTCTAAAACATTTTCATCTCATTAGGAATTTTTGCACCATCATTTGAAGCAAAGCTCTTGCCATATTTACTTTTCAGTTATTTCTAATCATGAACATAAAAATCAATTTATTTTATTACTGCAATATCTTCTTAGTATAATGCATGTGCTTTGTTTATTTATTTTTGTTGTCTATGAATTTACGTGTGCTGGCCAAAGTTTATTTAGTTATGCATTCCCTTTTGCGCATTTTCAGTTTTGCTCATGATTTCTGTTTGCTATTCTATTTCATTTGTCCATTTGCAATCAAGTAGAGCAATAATTAGTGGGCTCTGCTATTATTAGATTCATTGCAATTATTTGCATATGCTCCTGTTCTTGATGTTAACATGAATCTTTCAAAGTGTGAAAGGGTGTTTGTGAAATACAAATTAAATATTTGGCTAGCCACAACAGCATCTCTTTTGTAATGTGGCTTCCTAGCTACGGACTCTGTTCCAGACGTCGGACCAGCCTCCGTTATGGTAGGTAACATTGTACAGGGCAACAGGCTGGCTTCAGCTCAAGGCCGCGACATGGGAGTCATCGATGAGGAGTCTGATTCAGCTAGGAAGGTAAAATAAATTTATTAGAAAACACAAGAGAGATGCCTTGTACATGTGTGTTGTTGCTTAGTGATCTTACATCTTTGTTCTTTACAGTATCAATTTATCAGTGAAATTCTGAAATGGAGAGCACAGAGTTCCTCAGAGCATGTCATTTTCACTCTGTTGAATTCTAAAGGGGCTGTGGCCATGACATTGTCTTGCTCTCAATTACACAAGAAAGCAGAGAGAATTGGTGCTCTTTTAGTTGAAAAGGGCCGTATCAACACTGGTGATCATGTTGCCTTGATTTTCCCTCCGGGAATAGATTTAATATGTGCATTCTATGGATGCCTTTATGTTGGTCAGTATTCTTGTCTAAATCCATCTATGTTTAATTTGGCTGTGTCCCATCATTCTTATGTTTATTCTTTTTCCCCATTTAGGTGCTGTACCAGTGACCATCCGTCCTCCTCACCCACAAAATCTACAAACCACACTGCCAACTGTCCGAATGATAGTGGATGTCAGCAAATCAGTTTTGGTTCTCTCAAACCAAAATGTCATAAAATTATTGAAATCCAAGGTGATAACAAGGAATCTTGAATATTATGAAGTATCATTTCCATTAAGACTTCTGACTCCAGCTGTATTTTTAAATTCTGATTAAATTTATGTTTTTAGGAGGCAAGCAATGTTGTGGACATCAAGTCATGGCCAATTACATTGGATACTGATGACATGCCAAAGAAAAAACTGCCTGTGATGTACCGAGCTCCAACAGCTGAAATGCTGGCCTATCTGGACTTCAGTGTGTCAACAACAGGAATGTTAGCTGGAATCAAAATGTCCCATGCAGCAGTCACATCACTGTGTCGTTCAATGAAATTAGCATGTGAGCTGTATCCTTCACGTCACATAGCCTTGTGTTTAGACCCATATTGCGGCCTTGGATTTGCTCTTTGGTGCCTAAGCAGGTACTGTAAATTTGCTAGAAAAATGGAACTTGGAGAAATATAAGGGTCTTCTTATTTATTTTGGTTTATTTAAATTACAGCATATACTCAGGACATCATACAATTTTAATTCCCCCCTCTGAGGTGGAGGTAAATCCTGCTTTATGGCTCTCTGCTGTAAGTCAATACCGAGTGAGAGACACCTTCTGTTCATATGGTATGTGCATGAATTCTGCGTCTTCAAAATTTTTGTGGAGGTTGTGCTGTAAGCTACATTTACATATAATTTTTTAGGTGTTATGGAGTTGTGTACAAAAGGCCTAGGAACTGCAGTCACCACCCTAAAGTCAAGAGGGGTGAACTTGGCATGTGTCAGGACTTGCGTCGTAGTGGCTGAGGAAAGACCTCGTATAAACTTAACCAGCAGCTTTTCAAAATTATTTTCTGCACTTGGTCTCAGTCCACGGGCTGTTTCCACAAGCTTTGGATGCAGAGTAAACATTGCCATCTGTCTACAGGTGATTAAAAATTCTTTACCTCCAATTATGGAAGGAGAAAGTTGAGCTAACTCTCTGTTTTTCCATCCACGTTGTTTTAGGGAGCTTCAAGCCCCGAGCCATCAACAGTTTATGTTGATCTCCGAGCATTGCGGAATGATCGCGTGTCTCTGGTGGAACGCGGCAGCCCGCACTCCCTGTGCGTCATGGAGTCTGGTAAATTGTTACCTGGAGTCAAAGTCATCATAGCGAATCCCGAAACTAAGGGCCAGTGTGGTGATTCTCACCTTGGAGAAGTAAGTCATTTTCTTGGAGTAAGCCGCATTTGATGTCAGATGGGGTTGCCTCCTCTTCAAATGCCGCTTCCGTTTCCAGATTTGGGTGCAATCTAGTCATAACGCCAGTGGGTACTTCACGATCCTCGGCGACGAGGCCGAGTTCGCCGACCACTTCAATGCCCGGCTGGTGACGGGCTCGACGGGGGAGGTGTACGCCCGCACCGGCTACCTCGGCTTCCTGCGGCGCACGGAGCCGGGCCAGCAGTTGCAGGGCCCGGGCGTGGGCCCGTGCGGCCCCGGCTCGGCGTCCTCCACGGGCACGCTGGACGCGTTCGGCGGCCTGGGCAGCGGTTGCAGTGGCACGCTGTCCAGTGTGGGCACGACGGGCACCACGGGCACCACGGGCTCCTCGGCGTCCGCATCGGGCCCCGGTACGGGTACGGGAGGTGAGGACGACGCAACGTCCATCGCCACGCTCGCTTCGCTTCAATCGCAGACGCCGTCACAGCAGCTCGGTGACGCCCCAGGTGCTTTCTCATTTCTCATTTTCAAATTCATCCTTGAGTGTGTCTGTGTCTGTGGTGTTAGGGAGGAAGGGGAGACTCTGCAACAGTGATTGGTTCTGATCTAGTAGTTTGAGTTTTAATTGATGCTGCTCTTTTAAAATAGTTGCAGTTTTTGGAGACACTTAATTCCGGGTCTCAAGTGCTCTTGTAACTATTAAATCACTTTCGACTTTTATTAGTACATGAAGTACGAGTGGGTGACTGAGAAGCTTTTCATTTTCTCTCATATGCAGCTCAATATTTGGGCTGATGCTTCTTTGAGTTTTGATTTCAGCAGCTTGCATTCACAAAATTTCATCTTGAACATGCGCACCACCACCATTTGTGTGCTCTTCATTTATTGTTCATGATCTCAGATGTTCTTTCTGTGCTGTGATGAATGCATGGCAATCCACTCTACCTGCTTTTTCCATTTCCTGACATAAAAGTAATTTAATGCTCCGTGAACACTGTTAGTTTTTTCACATCATACAGTGGAGTGCTTTGTTTATGGCTTATTTTTCTCAAGAGTGCTGTATCTCCACCACATTCAGATCCTAATTTTGGAATTTTACTTCCTCTCTTGTTTGAGTTGACAGATTTTCTAATATTTCTTTATTGACCTTGACAGAACTTCATGATGCAGTATTTGTTGTTGGTGCTTTGGATGAAACTATCATGCTGAGAGGCATGCGCTATCATCCCATTGACATTGAGAACAGTGTGATGCGCTGTCACAAGAAAATTGCTGAGTGGTAAGCTTGATACATCTGGTATTCGAAAAACGTTTGGAAATTTCATAGTCATGACTTAAACTTATTTATTTCTTTTTTTTCAGTGCGGTGTTTACATGGACAAATCTTTTAGTTGTGGTTGTTGAGCTGGATGGTAATGAGAATGAAGCGTTAGATTTAGTTCCTTTGGTCACCAACACCGTTCTTGAAGAACAGCATCTTATTGTTGGAGTTGTGGTTGTAGTTGATCCAGGTGTAGTTCCAATTAATTCTCGTGGCGAAAAGCAGCGCATGCACTTGCGGGATGGTTTCTTGGCAGATCAATTGGATCCAATCTATGTAGCCTACAACATGTGATTTTCTTTTAAGAATATGATTATTGTATTGATTTTATTAATTAGCAGCATCTATTCAATATCTTCAAAAGCCTTGAAATAATAAATTTGCTGGAGAAAATGGAGCTCTGGTACAGGAAGCTGACATTACTAAAATTGAATTGGATTGGTTGAGAAAGATGTGTTTCATTCATTGCTATCAACCAAGGGTTAGTCACAGCCTTATTTGTGAGATAAGTTGGAGTATATCCTGAACCACTAGAAACAGTTATGTTCCACTTTGCAAAGGTGATACAATTGATTAACATAGACTCTGGTTTCAGGTTTGTGTTAATATCATGGTAGGCTTCCTTGTAAGGCAAGATGTTGAATCAAATTCTATGGCTTCAAGGCTTTTACTCAATATCAGACTATTTCTCTGGTTTGTGTAAGGAAAGTAAATACATAGCCAAAAGATAGATGTATTAGTAAATATTTGTCATTAATGGTCATTTGCTTTCTTTTTTTTTTTAGTAGTATGACGACAATAGTTTTATATCTCATTGACTGTGAGAAAAAAGATTGTGATTGTAACTAGTGTAAATGTATTGCTGTGTATGCAGTAATTTTTGAGCCACAGTATGTCCCATTTTACAACAAAAGTTATTCACATGATCACTGATCATCATTTAAGTATGTGGTGTTTTACGGAATTGTGCCATGAACTGTTACAATGTGTGATCAATTTTAAGCCCAGACCTGATTATGGCACCAATAGAGACACCAGCTCACAAGCATCTTTTTCTAGTCAACCAGATTGTGAATGGTTTACATGTCTCTTTATTTGGTGATACAAACAGACAAGGGAATGATTACATTCTCGATATAATCATAGAAAGCATACTTTTGTTTGGTTTTTGTACTGTTGTAATGTTTTGTTTTTTGTTGTTTTAAATATACCTACCTTACTTATTTTTATTCCTTGCAATGCTCAACTGTATCCCTGGTTTAGTAATTGTTGTTGTCCCTGATTGTTTTTCTACAAAAAATTTCTGAATTAAAGAAGTGTTAACAGAAAAAAAGTCATTTTTTATACCATTGTAAGTAAGGCATTTCATGATTATGACTTTTGTACCGTACCTCTTATAATTCTGCAGTAGCACTGAATTCTTTCCATTTGTTAAACATTTCCTATAATGTGTCAAGTTGTACTAAGTTGTAACCAAATTAATACTGGACCAAATTATACTCAGCAAAAAAACACCTTAGTTCAATATTGATCTGTCTTCTTTTATTCTCCCCCAGACTTGGATAAAGTTTTGTATTTCATTTCTGACTTCATCTGTTTTGTTGCATTGATTCATAGTTATTATCCCTGTAAAAATATCAATTTCTTCTTGATGCTAACTTTTTCTTTTATTGAAGCATAGCTTTAGACATATGTATGCATTTGATTAGCTTATGGAGGCCTATGTGAAATTTCATTACACTGAGCTTGTATGCTTTTACTGCATTTAAAATGCTGCTCTGTTATTTTGGTGTTACGAGTTGCTGATCATGATCAGTGTCTGTCATGGTCGCTCTACAGATATTTGTTGGTACGTGCCATATCTGGGAAGCCATGATTTAAGCTCTTAGTTGATTATTTCTCAACTTCTTTTAAAGCAAGTACCTCTTTTGTTTGGATTGTTTTTTGTATAAAAAACACAAAGCTGTATTATCAGGACTTAATGAGAACTCCACTAAATAAACGGTCAGGGTAGACAAAGGGCCTGTGCAAGTTGTCAGCAATCAATTCAGATTAATTAACTGTTATCTAGTGACGCACACTTATTAGTAATTATTTGGATAATTTAAGTGGTATGCTCAAGATTTGTGCCACACCTGTTCTATTTATGTTTAATGGATTACTGCCATCCTTTTTGTAACTGGGGAATTTTCATTTACATGTCTTTAAACATTCCCAACAACCTTTTATTTTACATCCTCCTATCATTGTACTCTACGAGATTAAGGTTTAGCTTTCTGCAGTTTGGAATTGAACCATTCTACAGCATTTCGCTATGACAATGCACAGTGAACAGATATTTGTTACTGACAACTTAATAAACATTTAATTGACTTTCAATTTAATGAAAACCTTTGTAGTACCTCTTGGTGCTGTACTGGTTCTAGGTTGCTTTTATAATCAATCTATCATCTGTATACAACTCTTAAATTAATTTGTCTAGAGATGTCATGAGTAGGTCTTTTTGTTTGCTTGTTAAGAATAATATATAACAGAGCTTTTGATAGTATGTGTAAGTATAAAATAGTGATCTTTTTTTAATCTGTTAACTTACTTTAACTGAATTTGAATACCTGTACATCTAGTTGAGTTGGGTTATTTAGGACATCACTTTTCATCATGTTGTGTTTCAGCACTGCCTGGCACATTTCCATTTCGGTGTTGTACCTCCCTGCATCACATCATGAAATGTTTGTGGTTTCATGTTTGTGTAATGACAAAGAACAAAAATAAAAGTAGTTCGGCTGTTATGTAGACAGCATGCAATTTGCTCTTGTGTTTCTAGTGTTCTGAACTAATGAAAGAATCGTATCGTCGGGCTCTAAAAGACAAGATCCTCAAGTTCTTTTTTACTGAAAATTTCTCATTTTTATATTTTGATTCTGAACTTGATTGATCTCTGACCAAAGGCCACCAAGAAAAACAGAACCTGAAAGATTTAAAACTAGGTTTCTTCAGAAGCGACGATGAGACTGCTCATGCCCTCACATTTTATTGCTATTTTAAAAACATGGCTCTGTTTTGATGTGTTGTTGTCTCATACCTTATATGCCATAAGTGATTTTTAGTGTGATGCCCACAAAGTATGGCCCCTATATTGACTTTTAAACAAAGTTGCCAGCCACATCATTATTTGGAAAAATACCTGGCTAATAATATGAATTCATCATTGCTCAATTGGTAGCCCTCAACCTTCACAAACATACGATATCACAAACTGTAAGCGTGCCTCTTTGGCCCAATTCTTGTAGAGTCAGTTTTGGTCTGACTATCTTGGATGTAACAGATTAGTAGAATTTGTAACTGTGTTGTAGTAAGTACCAAAATGTTAACATTCAGTAGAAAAAGTTCTACTTTCTCCTTGCATGAAATGTTTTGTACTCTCCTTCAAGCTGTAATGTTATGCTGTCTGTGAATGCCAATGTAAATAATAATTTTTAGCATGTAAACCATGACTGAAATATGTTTCTTTCTTCCTTTTAATCAACTAGATTTTCTTTGTTACTTTTTTACATTTACAAACATTCTTTCGTGCAGGGAGAGGGACTTGATTCTGCCATTTTGTAGATAGTGAGTCAAAATGATCTCTGTGCAAACTGTATTTTAAGTTCTTTTACCGTTGCTTCTTAAGTTGTAAATGTCACCTTGTAGAAATTTATGTTTTCATGATTCCACCATCTGTTTATTTTGTTGTTTTTCTTTTAATTAAAACTGTATTGTTGTTATTTTCATGAATGTATATATTATAAGCAAGTGCGAATTATTTTACTGTGAAATCCATTTTGTCTGTGTTGTGAGATCTTCCTGAAATTTAATTTCAGCCATCAAATAGTGTCTTTTCTTCTGCAAACATTGTGCACCTGTCATATAAAGCCCTTCTGTTACAATTTAACACGATTTTGTGGGTTCGTATGTGTTCAGAGTCAATGTGAAATTCTCAAATAAAAGCAAACAAACAAGCAAATGTTTTTTGTTTTTTTGTCACCCTTTCCAACACAAAGAGGACAAAACATAGTCTCACTTGCATCTTCACTATCAACTTCTTAAGGTAGAAGCTGGACATTTCTTGATTCTTATACAGTCTAACTAAGATTTGCTTCTAAGGATTAAACCAGTGTCACAAAATAACTAGAACTGCAAAATTTCACTATTTCCTAGACCTTTTATTGTTATTATTAATACTTTTCACAGTCTTTTTGACATTTGGCACAATAACACTATCAAGTTTGCCTGAGTCTTTCCCTTTTTTAACAGGCACAGGCTCAGCTGATGGTTGTTTTAAGACAGGTTTCTCTGAATCACATAAGCACCATGGAGTGAGCTGTCTGTTACATTTTAGCTTGATATTTAAAATAATTGCAGATGCCCCATCAATATTAATTTCATGTTCATTTTCTATGGAAAACTCCACATTGTGCAAGCCTGTTTCTCTATCCCTTCTTCGTGTAACCTCTTTTTGATTGAAACATTTGGTCATGTCCCTCTTGCGTCTCACACGGTCATGAACATGCCTACAAATTCACCATGAAACAAAACAAAATTAAAAAATTTAGCAATCAAGTTCATTGAGTTATAGAAGTTCATACACAAGAATTACTTACAAAAATGTGTTTTCCGTTCCAGTAGAAATATTGAGAGGCCTTGATACATTAAGACCAGCTTCTTTTAGCCTCACATAAAATTCATCATCTTCAAGACCCCAACCCCAATATTTGTTGCTCATACCATCCACCTTTAAAAATTCCTCCCTAAAAAAGAATTAGAAAAAATAATAGAGCAGGTGCCCTAAATGAAACGGAACAATTAAAAATTGATTGTACACCTGCAAGCGCACCTTTTAATTAATAAAATGCCACCGACAAACGTAGCATAATGATAGCGTGGATGCAGCTCTGGAGACGCAACATGGTAGGGGCCTGGCTTGCTTGGGTACCTATAGGATAGCTCTTGGTTTATAGGCAACAGATCAACATCATGCATAGCCATGTAATCACTGTCTTCTTGAGACTTCAGAAATCCCACATTGATAAGTGATGCTCTATTAAATCGAAAGTTATCTGCCTGTCAAAAACCATATGAATGAGTAAAAACACATGGACATAAATAAACTGTATTTAACAGCATATTTTTAAAATCTTACTTGATTAAGGATGTATATCTTAAAATTGATGTTCTGACGAGACAAAAATTTATTCATGTGGGGAACAAACCTCAGAAGTTCCTCAAATCGGTCTCGGAAAGGCACAAGGACAGCAAGTCTATGAAAACTTTTCCCAAAAGAGTTGAGGCGCTGCCCTGATCCTCTGGTGACTGACTTGGCTGACAACGATTCGTGAGTGTTGTCACATTGACAGCCCTCTAAAAGGCACAGTAATCAAATAAAAGTAATTTCAAATTAGACATTCATAACCTCAACAACCTTTTAGGTACTTCAGAACAAGGTCGGGCTTTGTCTTACCTGAAGATAAGGGAGTAAGAGCTATGAAGCAACAGATTATAAGGCAAGCACAGAGGCACATAACAAAAAATCGAACAGGTCTATTTATCACCCCAAGAAGCAATTTGTTTCTGCTAGAGGATGTCAACATTATTTCTATGTGATCTGAACTTCCAAAACAGAAAATGAGACGACAGTCGGGTGAAGGAGGGCTCTGTTGTTTGTCAAGCGAGACATTATTCAGTCTAAAAACTGTCGTAAACTTGTAAAAATCATTAACAAGTGGCAGCCGCAGCAAGAGCTGCACTGCAGCGGCGAGCCGAACCAAACTTCCCCCTTTACCCCCTCCCCCTCTTTCTTACCGATTAGTTTTTCATAGCTGTACCCACAGTTAGCCTCGCACGTTGCAGCTCGTGCTAAGTTTACTACGTTTGAAGTTATAGAAGTTGTTTGAAGGAAGGCTGCTGTCTGAGTTTAACTTGTTATGATGACGCTTTGTGTTTTGATTCAGCATTTTGTTCCGCAGTAGCGTTTGTTGGAGTTGATTTATCATTTCCTGATCAACATGGACACCAAAATTGCTGTCGATTTTGTCTGTCAAAGATGTCTACAACCTTTAAAACTGGATTCCTCCTTTGGAAGTGTCGGAGAGCATACACTGGCTGAGCTGTCATGTAAGAGTTGCTTTGATTTCCCTCATTTCATCTCAGACGGTTCCCACGAGGAATATTACTTCTATTGCAAATGTCTTTACTTGCCTATGCTCAAACCATTATTTTATTTTTCTGTATTGGCGAGATCATTAGGTTATGATTTAAAGCCACCTTTTTATAATAATTTCTTCGACCTCTTCAACCTTATTTTCATTTGATTATTATCTTTTCCAGTGCCCATACACTCTCATCCTGATGTAGACTTAGAATCAGAAGCAGGCATTCTTGATCGGTTTACACCAGCTTTCCGATTTACTGAGTCAGGAACAGGAGCAAATGGGTTTACTGTTGTCGGCAAAGGAGGAGAATTGAATCAAATAAGCCACAAAGTGAGGGTAAGTTAACTGTTGTAAAATTAAATTCTGTTGTAGCTTGAAAAATTTCATTGTTCACATCTTTTTTTAATAATATTATCTTACTTAAATTCCAGGTGACATCTGAATTACTGGATATGCTTTCATCTAATTCTGATGTTGACCATCCTCTATGTGAAGAGTGCACTGATCAGCTACTTGAACTGTTGGATCAGCAATTGCACCTTACAGAAGATGAATGTAATGACTACAGTCGGTTCTTGGACAGATTGCAGGCTGATGAGGATCCTCCACACAGTCTTGAATCTCTCGAGAAGGAACTCGCAGAGGTAAGATACCAACATTATCTATATTAAATTTATCTCATCTTATCTTAAAGAAACTTATCACTGGTACAGTAACTTAAGACATGACTTAAGAGGGCACTGTTGTAAACAACGATATGCAGAGATTGGATGTGTGAAGAAGCACTTTGTTTTCTTTTTGTCCCAAGTTAAAACTGGAGGAAGAATCTCTTCAAGTTGACCTCTGTCAACTGCAGAAAAAGGAACAAGCAGCCAAAGAAGCTGTTGCCAAACAAGAGAAGGAAAAGGAAAGAATAGCTGCAGAGGAAGAGAGATATTGGAGGGAATACACAAGACATCGCAGGGATCTCCTCTTGGCCGAAGATCAGTATCGAAGGTTTGTTTTTCTCTTTGCCCTATTGTTTGTCTTTGTGCATATCGCTTTACAAACTAACTTGTAACCTGTTCACAGTCTTGAATGCCAATTAAGTTACACTAATAACCAACTCGATAAACTTATCAAGACAAATGTCTTCAATGCAACATTCCATATATGGCATTCTGGTCACTTTGGAACAATAAATTCTTTTCGCCTTGGGAGACTTCCCACAACCCCAGTAGACTGGAGTGAAATCAATGCTGCCTGGGGACAGACAGCTCTTCTTCTTTCGGCCCTCGCACGCAAGATGGACCTAACTTTTGAGAGGTACCGACTGGTGCCATATGGTAACCACTCATATATCGAGGTATGTGAACCAGCTTGGATTTTCCTTGCCAATTTGACACTTAAAATTTCCTCTTCTCATAAGGATAAGTCACAAATTTTCCTCTTTGTAACAGGATATTGCTGAACAAAGGGAGCTGCCCCTCTATGGATCTGGTGGTTTCCGCTTCCTATGGGATACTAAATTTGACTCAGCAATGGTGGCTTTCCTAGACTGTTTGCAGCAGTTCAAAGAAGCTGTTGAGCTGGGTGATTCCGGTTTTAGTCTACCATATCGTATGGAAAGAGGACGTATTGAGGACTCAACTACTGGAAATTCATTTTCTATTAGGTAAGTAATAATAGAGTCATCTTCTCATTTTGTAGTTACCTGGTTGTGTTAATATGTTTTAAATTTACTTTTTCTAAATTTTTAGGATACAGTTGAACTCTGAAGAGCAATGGACTAAGGCACTTAAATATGTTTTGACAAATCTCAAATGGGGTCTTGCATGGGTTTCATCACAGTTTGCCAAAGATCGTGACAATGTTGCTTGTTAAATAATAAGTTTAGGGAATCATCTATATATATTTTCTAATTTTGTTCCTTCCTTGAAACTGTCTAGATGCATATTTATATGTTCACATCCAGTTAATGTGCATTTTACAAGTTATTGTTGTAAATGCTTTATTGTTAATTTGTTATTGTATGACACTCCAAATCATTAATGTGATCCTTCAAAAGTGATATTAAGTCTCTGAGTTGTAAATATAGTTTCTATTGTTAAAATTCCTCTACATCCATTCCTTTATTGATTAAGATCAAGATAAAAATACAAGAAAAGAAGACCCTAGCATGTGCCTCATTTGAACATTTCAGCAAAAAAGGAAAAAAAAAACCTCTGCTGGATGCCACGCCACAGCTCAGGGCAAGGTCAAGCTTGGCTTTAGTTGTCGATCGAGAAAGGGAATCGTGCATCAGGTTGTAACTTCAATGTAGAGGCTTGACTCAGGCAGAGAAGCGGGAGCATTCTTTGTGTCGTTTGATATCAAATTCAATGTCTTATCACAAGCTCTTGGTCTGCGGCACTCTCTAAACTAATAGTGCAACAGTATGTGTTATGCATTACATTCACTCACACTCAAGTCCGATTTCTGGCAGCCGAGGACTCGTAAAAAGTGACGCCGCGACCACGGCACAATCTGGGTCCCGCCTCCACAACGTGACCTGCGACCATGGAGACAAGCTTGTCTGCTGCGACACGACACCCGTTCCGTGCAACGGCCTACACTACACATTCCTTCTCGGACTGTCCCCGAACGGTGCATGTTGTCAGAGCCCGTGCCTCCGCGAGCTTCCAAGCCTAGGCCTCTGGCCCTGCCAGACACCATGCAGACACTAAGCCTCGCACTGTTTGCGAGTAATAGCTCAAGCTTCGGTTCGCTTGACCTTAAAAAAATAAAAAGGAATTTGGCGGATTCCCTTTGAAGCGGCGGGCAGTCGAAATTCCCGCTCGACTGCCGTGCCTCAAGGGATGGATGAGAAATTTAGCACGACACCTTAAAGCACTAGAGTCCTATAAGCCCCCATCGGTGAAAGAGGGTGGGGGAGTATAGAACTTTAGAAGTACGTATTTACACACGCACACAACTGAAGTGTGCAGTAGGTTAATCGGTTATCTGTTGCTGTCACCTAGTCCTAAGTCCGACGCGTCCGATTATAAACGGTAATAGATGCTATATCTGTACTGGGCAACTAATTCATATGCTATGGCGCTTCTCGCTTTATGGTGAAAATTGACAAATTGACAACCTATGCGTGACGTGACATGTCAACCTTCGACCCGCGCCGGTGTTTTTGTCTGTTCTTGCCGACCGAGGATCAAAGTTCACTTGTGATACTGCTTTCCGCACCGGGCATACCTAGCTTAATAAATTCTCTTGTCATCAGGCCCGACCGTCTGTTTCTGACTCGTGAGTGCGTACGTGAATTGCCACAAGGATGATGGGGTAATTTATTGAAAAGTTTTGTATGAGTCTAAATGATTAATCCTGTACTGGGTATTTGTCATTCTCATTTAACTTCTGTCTGCAGGAAATTAGCAGGTCGCACTGTGTTCATAACAGGAGCCAGTCGAGGTATTGGGAAAGCCATAGCTCTGCGTGCTGCCCAAGACGGGGCAAATGTTGTGATTGCTGCTAAAACTGCCGAGCCACATCCCAAGCTCCCTGGAACTATTTATACAGCTGCCAAGGAAGGCAAGTGTATTTGTTACACTCCATTGCCTTTCTGCTCTTCAAATCATTCAATTCTAAAGTAAAGGAATTCTGTTTTGCAGTTGAAGCTGCTGGTGGGAAATGCCTTCCGTGTATAGTTGATGTGAGGGAGGAAAAGCAGGTAGCTGCAGCTGTTGAGGCTGCTGTGAAGACTTTTGGAGGCATTGATATACTTGTAAACAATGCCAGTGCTATATCCCTTACGGGCACTTTGGAGACGGAAATGAAAAGATATGATCTTATGCAGAATATTAACACACGAGGAACCTTTTTGGTGTAAGTGGTGATGTAGTTCAATGAATTTATGAATCAAATTTGTACCAAACACTTCTTTAATAATTTTTTTAAACTTTATTTAAGGTCCAAGATTTGCTTACCTTACTTAAAAAAGAGCTCAAATCCTCACATTCTGAATCTTAGTCCTCCCCTGAACATGTCAAAATTCTGGTTCAAAAACCATGTTGCCTATACTATGGCGAAGTATGGCATGTCTATGTGTGTCCTTGGAATGGCAGAAGAATTTGCTGCTGATGGCATTGCTGTTAATGCCCTGTGGCCTAGAACTGGTAAGTAGTATTAGTTGCTACAGCAGCATAAAAAGGGTTTCTTCATTAACTTATATGCTCTCGTCCTTTTTTAGCGATACACACAGCAGCAATTGAAATGCTAACAGGACCAGACTCAGCTCGAGTCTCTCGTAAGCCTGAAATCATGTCTGATGCTGCTTATTACATCTTGACCAAACCGTCTAGGTCATGCTCTGGCAATTTTTTCATTGATGATGAGGTCTTAAAGGCTGAAGGCATAACTGATCTGACAAAGTATGCCTGTGATCCAAGTAAGTGGCTACCACTTCATTGCGAATGAATAATATTAAGATGGGTGGTTCATTTGCCTCAAAAACTTTTTGTACTTTTGTAATTTATTTTTTTCCTAGGCTATGCCGATAAGTTGATGCCTGACTTCTTCCTTGATGATGAAATAACTCCAAATGCACCTGTTGCGAAAGGAGGAGCATCTAGCATTGCAAATATTTTTGTCAATATTCAAAAGCAAATTAGTCCTGACCTAGTTAAAAAGGTGCAAGGTGTATACCTGTTTCAAGTCACAGGTAAGGAATTATTCATGGGCTAGTTTTAAGGACTTTCATCACTTATCTCTAACTGATGACCTTTTTTGCATTTAGGAGCCGAAGAAGGGCTGTGGCATCTCGACCTCAAGAATGGAAATGGATCAACAGGGAAAGGTAAACCCGAGGCAACACCTGACTGCACACTATCAATGGACTCAAAGAATTTCTTTGATATGTTTTCAGGTATGTTTTATATTTGTCTTATAGGTAGTCAATTCCTGGTTTTAATGGTTTTTGATTTTGCATGCTGTTAAATGCTAACCATTTGTTAAAAACATGTTTACAGGAAAATTGAAACCATCAGCTGCTTTTATGACAGGAAAGCTGAAAATAACCGGCAATTTGCAAACTGCAATGAAATTAGAAAAGCTTATGAGCTCCTTAAAATCAAAAATGTAAATGGTCAAGATCCCAATTTTTGTGTGTTGAAATTGAGTTATTCTCAAAAGTGTGGATATGCGATTAATCTACCGGTATCAGTATTTTTCACAAATATTTTTTTCACCGGGAAATGTATTTACAATGTATGAAAGTATACCATATCTTCAATATGTTTGTGCATAAGGTAGATAAAATGAACTCTTTATAACATCCTAATATTTTCGAGATCAGAGAAACTATTTTAACCGCCTGGTAAAGAGTTTTATTTTATAAGTTTTATACTTTATTACAAATTTTTCAAATATAAATTTATACATGTTAATATGTGTTTCAGTCTATGCCATTGCTTCCAATCTCTCTACAACAGTAGACATGGTAGGTCGACTGCTCTTTTCTTCTTCCAAACAATCCCGAGCGAGGGAAAAGAGCAGGTCTGATAAAACAGTACCGTTAGTTGATAGCCAGTTTCCTGCCTTGTTGTCCACTAATGATTCAATAGACTGTTCGCCAAGCACATGAGTAACCTGAAATGAGTAATAATTAGTTGAGATTGTCCAAAACTTGACTATGACCAAGGTAACACTGCTCATAATTACAAATTGAAAACTTGCCAAGTCTAATCCATCAGAATCGGAGGAAATATATGGGGATAAGCCCGTAATCAGTTCCAATAAAACCTGTTCAAGACAAATTACTTTATCAGTATACATGTAACATTGCCTATGCATGCCATTAAGAAATGCCTTAGTACACTTACCACACCAATGCTGAAAACATCACTTTCAATCGGCACTTCTCCTCTAAAAACTTCGGGGGCCATATATACATCTGTTCCCAAAATTTCATCTGATGCAAATGCCATTTCAGCCGAGCGTGCTAATCCAAAATCTCCCAACTACAGGATTTCTTTCTGTTAATACCATTAATTGGCTTAATAATATGATACAATGCAAGATTTTTTACTTACTTTGGGGACAAGATCCTTGTCCAGCAAAATATTTTCACTCTTCACATCTCTATGAACCAAACCAAAAGAGTGTAGGTGTTTGAGACCTTTGGATGTGCCTAGAGCAATTTTGATTCTTATAGGGTACAACAAAGGATGCTGCCACCGTCCCTGAAAATAGAAAACCATAAAAACTAGTAAAACAAAAGATGGCTCCGGGACCTTGATTGTATGTAATGCCAATGCTACAATGATGAAAAGATTGAGGTTGTTATTCCAGCTTCCGACATACCCTGCATGAGAGTCTCTCATGAAGATTTCCTTGGCTCATATATTCGTAGACCAAGCATTTGTTTGGACCATCTTCAGAAAACCCTATCAGGCGCAGTAAATTTGGGTGCTCCACACTAAACGTTTTTAGAAAAATTTCAAGATTGTTAGCACTTACTTTCCAATTATAAAATACTAGAAAGAAAAAACTTAAATATAGCTACTGACCTGAACATCGTTTTAACTTCCCTATGAAACATTTTGTCAGGATTATCCTTTTCTAAACATTTAACAGCTGTAAATTCATTTTCCCGAATAGCTAGATGTACAGAACCAAAAGCACCTTTGCCCAACAATCGTCCACTATTTTCACCAACAGGATCACTATTAAAGTTATTGGTGATTGCTTTTAGCTCGATGTAGGGAATGTGTCGTGGGTAATGTCTGGAAATTAAAAAAGCATTTTATCATCTTAATTGCAAACAAAAAATGTATTATCTGAGATCATTTTTGTTTCTAAATTTAAAGCAGCTTACACATTTATGGGTAAAGTTTCCAGTTGTTGATACGTCCGAGTGGATTCAACAGCTGAGCTAATTTCATTGGATTCAATTCTAGCAGGAGTCACAACGGGAACTAATGATTCCACTTCCTGTGGTAATAGAGCTGCAGGACTTTGACGAAACTCAGAAGAATCTGAAAGGAAAACTTCAGCTGCAGGTCCACTCTCAGGCCTCCTTGGACGAGGTTCTGTAAGTCCAACACATGTTTAATACATAATTAGTAATGAGGTCAACATTATCGTCTAGACCAATGAAAAGGCAATAGTTTAACTTTGCCCATGCCTTTTAAAAGTTCCACAGCAACAAAGTCAGCTGCTTTATATAGTTCCAGATCCGTCAAAAGGTTGAGAAGGTCAGCAAGAGTAGGTCGTCTTCTTCCGCTGCATCCCCACTCCTCCAAAAAAATTTCAGCACAACTACGATTCTGCCTGCCTCCTGCTTCCTCCACCATCCTTCAGTTCATTAGAAATAAAAGAAAGCAAATAAACAAAATTTATGATAAAATTCAAGGCTGCAATCAAATGTCATACTTAATGTGCTTTGTTGTATATTTGTAAGGGCAGGGGAGGGTTTCGGTAGGAGCTCTTTGCACTCGACCCATCACCCGTTTCCATGTCGATCCATCTTCAAGTTGAAGAGCAAGATTGTAGTGATCTACATAGGGTAGCTTTCGTACCTCAGTATCCCTATTAAACCTGGAATTAATTAAAAATGTAAGAAGGAAAAGAGACGTAAGAGTGGCTAAGATTAAATTTTGAGTTACCAAGCCCATAACCCCATTTTCATAATACATAATTACGATGAAAAAAACTTACACCATAATGGCCAACAACGGCGAAAAGGGATATGCACAAAATAAAATTGGGAAACGATTAAAGCAACGTAAAATTACAGGTGCAGTAGTGCAGTGCAGCAGGACAGCTGTTGATGTTGTTGTTGTGATAGCTCAGTTATGAAAAATTCTCCTATCCTTTCTTGCATGCAAATTTCAACGAACGAATGACAACAAATAGTGTGTATTCGAGGTTTTAATGCCTAACATAAGCAGTTTCGCTACGTTTAAGAAATTTACGTGAGGAAGTAAAGCCTTTACGGTTTCTAATTCGTCTCCAGAACGAGCAGCTCCAGAATTCTTATTTTTGCTGCGCCAATGCCGGCTTTGGTGGCTAGAGGAGGAAGTTTTGAGGTTAACGGCTCTGTTTTGTAAACTAAATATACCGAAAAGAAAAGCTTTCAAATATGGAGGAAATCAATGAAATAGCGAATGACGTGATGGAGGAGGCCAATGCCGACGAAAGCGAAAGCCAGCATTCAACTGATGATTACGATGAGTTGGAAAAATCTTCCTGTCAGGGGAAGTATCATAAACAGTCCTACAGAAAGGCTTGGGAAAGTTTGCCTGACTTCAAAGGTAAGGGAACTTCTACTTCACTGGCTTTAATTTCCTTATAAATAGAAGAAAATTGTGATATTTCTCTGCATGTTCCTGCTTCTGCAATGACATTATTGAGACGAATTACTGGAGTTTTAGGCATAATATGCTCGCATCGTTCTTTACACTGTCATGTCTAATGTTGTTGCAGGTTGGCTTCAAGGTGTGGTTGGTCAGAAAAACCGAGCATTTTGCTCATACTGTCAAGTGACATTATTTGCCCATCGACTCAGTCTCCTTAAACATACCTGTACAATAAAACATCAGAGAGCCTCTCAGAAAGCTTTGTTGAAAGTAAGTACCTTTGTAAGGTATAAGCCAAAAATAGGTGTTCGAAACGATGTGGGTTCAACTTTGAGTTTTCATATTCAATGTTGAATGGACATCGTTTCAAAAGCCTTATTCTGTCCAGGTGTATATTTGTTTCTTCTGATTGAATTTTTTAAAACATTTATCATTATTATTAAAGAGGAATGGATTAATGAATGACAATGCCGAAGTCTCCATTGTCCCCTGCACTTCTCAATCGACCATGCAGCACATTTCTCCCGACAAACTTAATATTCGTCCTGCCAAAATCCAGCCAAATATCTCTGGTAACATGACAGTTACAATTATTCAGCATGAATCTGATGATCATTTGGGATTGCAGCTTGCACAAAATATGTCTGAGTCAGACAACGGTGCATTGGTGAGTAATTGCAACATCCTTTCTCTCGAGCCAGAATGAAACAACTTTGAAACCAAAGTCATGCTGTGCATCAGTGTTGCATCTTTCAGCACTCACATTATGCTATTGTAAGCCGCACACAGATGATGAATGATGTTAATTAATTTGACTGACTGTATTGCAGATAACGGATGACGATGACCTTGGCTTGAATACAGTCTCTTCTGTAGGTCTTGAAGTGGAAGAAGTAATGGAGGGTCAAATAGATGCCTCTCCCTCAAAGTCAATGGTAGGAATTTCTTTTTTACTTTTTTATGTGATAACAATCACCCCCTGAGAACAGAGCTCAATAGATCTGAGAAGGTTTACAAAGTGGTGGTCATAGTATGTGTACTAAAATACACATTTAAAAAAAAATTGAGGTTTTAGAATTCTTTTATATAACAGCTATAAATTAGTTTGGATAACCAGAAAGGGATGAGAGGGCAAGCAGAGGCAGAGGTTGTCAGGATAAGATATATCTCATTGACCTTCAACCTTTTGATCAGGCAATAGTATGGTTGATTTATCTGATTGAATGTGTAGTGCTGCCAATAGATTACAGTGTCTTGTTCAACATGAAATCTGTTGCCCGTATTGAGGTTATTCAACGACACGTAACATCTGCCTCTTCCAATAAGGTTTGCTTCAGTTGATAAATCAGTTTAGATCCTATAATGGCCAATGATGCAAGTTCCTGACCCTTAAGGTTACTGTTTGTTGGGGCTGTGGCAAGTTAAACTACCTCTTTACTTTTTCACCAAGTTTTATCTGTTTTTTGGTAGATGATTAATTTTGTGATTGAGACTGTGCCTTTGGTTCTCTTTCCTCAGCTGTTTTCTTTTTTCCTGACTTTTAGAGGGACTTTTACTTTTAGAAGTGTTTGGTTCAAATATTCCTTAACCATGGCTATATTTTCGATCCTCAGAACATGGCTCATTCTTCAGCCTTTCCTTTGTCAACACATGTTTTGGATACTTCGAAAGGTCAACCAGTAGCTCAACTGCCAGTAAGCCTCTACAGGCTCATTGATAGCCGATGGACCCTTATTAATGAAAGGTAGGCAGAACCATGATCTTCTTATAGGCTCCAGTGATTGTAGGATTTTCTAAAATCACTGTCTTTTCTTACTTGCAGCGTTACAAATCAAGATGGACGGTGCAGTAGCCTCATACAGAAGCAAGAATTTGTAGCTGGACGTTACAAACTGCATTTTGACACTGATCGCTACTTTGAGTTAGAACGCAAAGAAACTCTGTACCCATTTGTTGAGGTAGGTGCTAAAAGTAGTCTTAATTGAGTTGTAGATTGCTGATGAAGTCATCAGTTAACAATTGAATTTACTTTCCCTTTCAGATAGCATTTGATGTTCATGCTCCACTTGATCATTATCACATTCCTCTCCTACTTTCTGCCTTTGGATATTCAACTTACAGAGGTAGTTAAACTTTTGCCTATAAAGTAACTTGTAATAAAAACAAAGTATGTATCTGCAACAGATGAAGTCACAATGTTGTATTTGTAAAAAATATGTGGAATAAAAATCTAGTACGTCACAAGGACAATTTTTACAATAATAAATGTAAATAAATGAAACAGATCAAATTGAAAGACAGTACAAAATATGGAATGCAAGATGATGTCGGTTATAAAACTAGGGAGGACGGAATGAATGTATATTCCTATGACACTACAATTATTGAAAAATTAATATAAAAACAAGTTCATGCGGATTCATAAATCCCACATTCCTTTAAAACACTAAGTATGGACGGCGAACACACAATGGACGGATTAAGTGCGTTTTCATTATAAAACTAAAACTACAATAGTAGTTCGGTAAAAAGAACCTATTTTACAAATAAATTCAGTTCTGATTTAAAAATTATAAACAAAAAAGAGAACAATTCAGGTAATAAGTCATTAAGTAAGGCACTAGATTCAGAGAATGGAATTTGGACTGTTCTATTTCAGAGGACAGAATGTGCCCCTCTGCAACATAAATCATTCCTGATTCATTTAACTCTAAGACTACAATTTATTTGAGATTCATTTCTTTATGTGTATGAAAGGACCTGTTATGAGTGACTAATTAATAAAGCGATTGTTGTACTGATAACAATAGCAAATGCGCCTGTGGTCAAACTTGATGCTCCCGCATGGCAATCAACAATACGACGTGCTCGTAAGAAATCCTTGCCAAGGTACTTAGCATAATGTTGCTGAGTATAATTTAGAACATAAAGTTGCTGGGTGGCATCTTGGAAGATGAGGTCGGAGTATGGTGGTTGAGAGTAGAACAAGCTAAAGCTGGAGAGGAAATTGAGGAACGTGTTAATATAAATGCCAAAATCAAGCATAAAATAAACATAACAAGTGTGAAGAAAAGGAACTTTAAAAAACAAGGGATTTCCATTTACCTGAATTCATCTGTATCTCTTCGACCATAAAACTGTTGGGCATAGATAAATAAGTTGATGTACGCACTTATTTCTGTTTCATTGTAACCCTCACCACCACGAGTTACAATGGCATTAGCTTTAGCTTTCCCTAGGTTACAGTTCTTGTAATCTTGAGGGTTCATGCGACGGCCTGCAATGTGAAAATCATAGTACAGAATGTTGCCACAAGGCAGACAATCCAATTAACTGACATCTTAATAGATGTAACTAACCATCGGGACACAAGAGTTCAAAATCGCCACTTAAAGCATTACGTGCCCACCACTCATCTCTTTTCCCATCACTAACTTCTGCAATTGTTGTATGTTTCACAAAAGCAACATCTCCACCTCCCTCAACTAAACACCTAAGAGCACCTGGATTTAAAAAAAAAAAAAAAAAAAAGAATTGATGAAAAAGAGTTTTTTAAATCTGATAATAAAAAGATTATGTTATGCCATTGCACAACATCAGAGTTTGATTATTTCACTTACCTGTAAAGCCATAGAAGTCTTCAGAAGCATCTCGCCTGCAGTAACTGGAACTCGTTCCATGACAGAGATCACACATATTATCATATGGCACCCCAGTGTTATATTCGCTTGATAAGGCTCCAGGAATACAACTCTTCCCAAAATACTCCGCTGCAGTTCGTACAGAGTCACAACCATAGCTTCTGATCCATCCATTGGACATGAGGTAGGCCATTGGAATAACCCAACCAGCAGCTGTGCTCATACCAGTGTGACATGTGTATTTGCCTTATAGGGGGAAAAAAATTGATTATATATGCCATGCCATTAATTCGCCATTCTAATTCAAACAATTATGCAAACACAATTTTAAAAAGAAGGCTCACCTTTCAAAAAGGTCAACTCAGTAGTAGGGTCTTGCTCTTTAGCAACAGCAACAACATAGTACTCTGGCTGTCCTAAGTTGTAGACCTCAGAAATGAATGGGACAAGGTCATACCGAACCCCACCAGTATACACATCACTGGCATCCAGAACAGCAACATCAGCCTTGCCAGCTCGGATCTGTTCCATGCAATCAATGTGACTGTGGCCTTTGGTGCATACCATTTCAGGTTTCAAAAGCTGGGCCTTAAGAGCAGTTCTCATTTTAACACATTTGTCCATTTCAGGCTTAGAAGTCACACACAAAGTCATACGGTTCACAGGACATTGGCGGACACCCAGAATTTGCTTCAAGGCAGGACCAAGGTAAGATTCATAATTCTGGAAGGTTTCGTCAAGAGCTATAAGGTCTTCAACATTGTCATTAAGGAGGAGGTTCCGATGAAGACCATAACGAGGAGCCGAATGGAAAAGATCAAATTCTTCATGCCGGGCAGGTGGACGGTATTCATCATTACTAGGGCCAGTATAAAATTGGTCTTGTGGATCATAGCTAGTCTGGCGAGGAGGCAGGGCAGGGATCTGCCTTTTTTCTTTTGGTTTGTCTGTGTCCCTAGCCTGACGCTTAATAGGGCGGCGAGGGTCATAGTTGCCAGGAGGAGGTTGGTTGTATGGGCGGTAAGGATCAGGAAGAGGTGGTGGTCCTCCGGACTGATTAAAGTTGTTATTATAGAATGGGTCATTGTTGAACTGATCACGGTTGGCTGGGTTGCTGAATGGATCTTGTGGATTAAATGGTCCTGTTGAGTTTCTTCTTCCATACAGCTGCACAACTCTCTGAAAACAAATTCAACCAGACATGACGTTTATAGTTACAATAAGACTTTATCACACATCAGTGACTTTTTATCCAAAAGGTCTTTGAAATAAATACCATGAGAAAGTTTTGATAAGTTCTTCTGGTCTCTACAGTCTTTGCACTTGTTGTTACAATAGCATGTGACTGAACAGGACCCCAGTTGCAAGAACGATAGTCATCAATTGCTCTCCTAGTTCCATCCATGCACAACAGTTCAAAATTGTCCTTCTTCACACCACCTGGGGAAAATGAGAAAAAATAAAATTGAAATTTAAAATGACCAAGCAGAAAGAATATCACCGGTTAAAAAGAAGGCTGACTGAAATGTATGATAATAAAGATGTAGGTATTCTATTTTGCTTTCAGGTTTAAAATCCATTCATTCACCTAACTATACTTACTAAAGTCAAATGACGTTGATGTCATTTCTGCTACAGTTGTGTGCTTTAGGAAAGCAATATCACCCTTTTCCACTAAGCATCTGAATGCCCCTTCAAATCCAGCATAAGGATCTGCATTTGTGCATTTACCGCCAGGTACCTTGCCAGTACAAAGCTCACAAAGTCGGTCAGAGTTGTCTCCTGCAAACAATAGAGGCAGCAGAAGTTTACAAACCTGCGAGTGGGAGAATATAAATGAATTTATCACAGAAGTAAAAATGGGATACAAACCAATAGGGTTGTACTTGTCAATGAGAGAATTAACAGCACAGCTAGGTCCAAAGAAGTTGATAGTTGATTTCACATGGTTATTACAGTCAATGACTTGCATGCCTCCAAACTGCATCATCTGCAGGGAAAGCAATAAAAAGATCAAAAGAATGAAACTAAAAATAAAGCAAAAAGGAGAATCCCTATAATTATAAAAGTTCTCTCTAAAATTCAAAATCAATAACTTACATTGTAAACAGGTAAAACCCAGCCAGCCTGTGTGCCTACTCCAGCAAAGCAAGCACTTTTTCCTCTCAGATGAGATATGTGGCTGACATCAAGAAGTGTGCCTCGTTTTACAACAGCAACAGCATAATAGAACTTTTGCCCTCCTAAAAATAAATTTTTAATAAGGAAACAAACAAATAAAAACGGCAAACAACGAGTTCTTCAAAAATCATCTCCATACCTATGAGTCGTTCCTGCATTATGGGCACCAAACTGTGATATCGTCCACCAACAAAAACTTCACCTGCATCTACCAATGTGATGTGTGCCTTTTCTTCATCCAATAAAGTCATGCAATCATCTTTGTTAAATGCCTGAAAATCAAGAAGATATAGAAAAGAATGACAGGATTTTGTCATATAATTAAAAACTTGTTAATGAAATTATAGGGTTTACCTGCTTGCATTGCACTTGCAGGAAGTCGTCTCGAAAATCTCTGTAGTCTCTTTCAACAACCATAGAAAGGTGTTGGCACTTCCTCTGTTCTTCTTTGCTCGTAGTACACCATGATATAACATTTTCTCGTTCAACGTAATTTGTGACTGAAACCAAAGGCACCGAAACATTAACAAAATTGAAGAATTGATTAAGATGTTAATGATTTAACAAGATTTCAGATGAACCATTCAAAATAAGGAAAATCATGGTTGAAACAAAAAATAATTTGAACATAAACAGGTGTAAACATAACCAAAGTTGTTTGTCAACAGGTGTCTTAAAAAGCGAAACAATGAACCAATTGTAATTTAAAACTTCACACGGTTAACAAAGAGACGCCGATATTCACGAAATAAAATGTAAATTAGAGAGCTGGCCTTAAATGTTGAAAAACGAGTGAGACAAGTAATGGCCCAGCCCATTCCTCTCGGACACAACCAGACTAAATTCGAAGACCTAGGGTATGTTACTTACAGGATATGCTTGATGCTATTCCTCCCAGGAAAATCAAGCACAACAGATTTCTAGGAAGTGAAGTCATCTTTGTGTACAAAGTTTGAAATATGCTATAGACACAAATACCATGACCGACAGCCGCCGCCCATCCCAACTCCCAACACTGCCCTGCCCAACACAACACAACGACGCGACGCGCACACACTTACACACACACACACACTCACACATGCTCACACAGTCCTGTCCCTGTGCCTTCTAGATCGCTTAACTCGCGTAGTACGTGATGCGTCATCAAGGGGGCAGTTCCTAGCGGCGCGAACTTTCGGCGGGTACTTTCAAAATGTTGATATTTTTCGACTGTGGGGTTGGTGTGGTGTGATGTCAGGTCCACACCCTCATGAGTTGTATTTGAGATTCTGTCTAGGATAGACGGTCTAAGGAGCAAGTTATACTGACAATGTCTATTTTAGAACTCACACACATCTCGGAGACCATACTGGCTTGTGCAGGTGAAGGGTGGTGCTCAGAGTGATTTCTTCTTTCTGTAAAGGCATGTTTTGGGAAAGAGCAAAACACATGCGAGGGCATATTTAGATTTTATTTTAAAATGTAACAGGACATTTCATTTCAGTATACATACATCTATAAAAAAATAATTAACTTTCATAAATAAGAAACAAAGTTTCATGTAGTCAAATTTGCAAACAAGTCTATATCTTCTTTCATAAAATGTCCGAATAGAAGGTGGACGTTGCAATTTTGCTAGGACACTGCGCGTGCGCAACGGACTGCAGGGCATGCATTCAATTTTGTGGACAATTGCTTTAAGCATATTGCCTTAGTTCATAATTTTTAACAAGATATAATTTCTACAAAATTTGTGGCTGTCTTTCTGAAACCTAATTTGTAAGAGACTGGAGGAAAACCACCACATTAGGAAATGAAAGTATGAAATAAAATCTTATCAGTACTTCATTCATCTTCATCTTCCTCACTGACGTCCTCATCATCATCATCATCGTCATCGTCATCTTCATCATCATCGTTATCTTCATCTTCTTCTTCATCATCATCCTCTTCTTCATCATCATTATCCTCTTCATCTCCAGATTCATACTCATCATCTCCATCATCTTCCTCATCATCATCTTCATTGTCATCTTCTATTTTCTGTGCTTTGGCTGCACTATCACTTGTCTTCTGTTTCTTGGCAGGAACAATCAACTCCAGATTGGGTGCACTGAGGATGTTGGCACTTGCTGCAGTCTAAAAGAAATGTAATTATGTTTAAAAAAAAAGAGAGAGAGAGAGAGAGAGAGAGAAAATATTTTAACAACTAGAAACTTACTTCTAATGACGACTGACTTTCTGGTCCCTTTCTCCTTTTCTGGGCTTTTTTCTGAGCAACAGTGGTGGCAAATTTACCTGAAAGTATGAGTGAAATCAGATTTACATCAACATAGAAGCCAAATTATGCAATATTCAAAATTAATCCACTTCCATACAACAACAACAAAATTTAATTGAGGTACAAGCGAGCTTTTTGCTTTGAAAGACATACTTTAAAAGACATACTAATACATATATTGCTTAGTTTTATAATTGTGTTGAGTAGGTATCTTACTTTCATCAACGTGCTTGATTATCAGGGGCTGACCATCAAATAGAACACCATCCATTAACTTTGCAGCACGTGCTTCCTCAGCCGTTTTGAAGTGCACTGCTAGAGTCTTCTTCAATTTTGTTATCTGCAGAAGAACAGAAAATGTATGTTTAAAAAAGACTGGCAAAATTTATCACTGAAAGTAGACAGCACAACAGAAAAAAGTGTTTACTTCAGTAATTTCACCGCGATGTGCCAGAAGGTCCCGAATTCTGGATATGTTAGCTGGGTTCATGAATTTTATATTACGAATGCGAACTATCTTCATGTTGCCGCTGAATTAGTAAAGAAGGGAATAAATTTCAGATCTAGGAACAACCAATGTACAATAATTAGAATTATCATGCAACTTACCCACGTAAAGGATTTGGGTTTTTTTTCCTTCGTACTTGCTTAATGGGTTTCTCAGAGACCTTACGAGTTCTATCTAGAGACTTAGAAGTTTTCTTCCTTCTCACTGATCTACGCTTCCTGCGAAATGGTACTGGACTCTGTTGAGTAGATGTTTCTTTCGGAGTACTGGCTACGGTGGACGTTCTCTTTGGATTTCTGGCTACAGAAGACTTGCCTTTGGCAGTCTTGGCTACTACAGTGGACGTTCCTTTAGCAGTCTTGGCTACAGTGGATGTTCCTTTTGGATTCTGGGCTGAAGTGGACATTCCTTTGGCAGTCTTGGCCACCACACTAGATGTTCCTTTCGCAGTATTGGCTACAATAGACGTCCCTTTAGGAGTCTTGGATGCTGCTTTAGGAGCATTGGTTACAGTCGGCAATTGATTCAGAGTTACCACACTTTTCTCTTTGGGACTCTTCAGCATCGGTTTGGTAGGCCCTTCATCCTTGGACAACTTCGATTTCTGCCTAGCGCTCTTGAGGCTTTTCATGGCTTTGCCAACAGGCTCTTTATCCTCTAGTGATTTCAATTTCTGCCCAGAGCTCTTGAGGCTCTTGGCTTTGGCAACAGGCTCCTCACCCTTGAGCGATTTTAATTTCTGCCCAGGGCTCTTGAGGCTCTTGGCTTTGGCAACAGGCTCCTCACCCTTGAGCAGTTTTAATTTCTGCCCAGAGCTCTTAAGGCTCTTCATGGCTTTGGCAACAGGCTCTTTACCCTTGAGAGATTTTAATTTCTGCCCAGGGCTTTTGAGGCTCTTCATGGCTTTGGCAACAGCCATTGCAGCAGAAGTAATTCACCTACTGCACACTACTGCAACAGAACCACAGAAACAATTAACACTCTTGAACAACAATTGAGATAGCCGCTTGAAAATTAGAGAAAAGATTGCAAACCGAAAAGACAAGGAAAGGAAAAGTAAAGAAACGCGGTCCAAACGTCAAATACGGCCCGACCCTAAACAAGCAGACACCAACAAACCATCAGCGCCAGCAGCACGTGTCAGAGGGTTAGAGCCCAGTCGCACAACTAAATATATTAATGCATCGGAAGAAGCAGAAGGTAACAAGTTGCTGCGGCATCTTAAAAACCATGAGGAAGGACAAGGAAGTACTTACGGCGAACTTGGCAGAAGTCTTATAGTAGCGAAAATTCCGTGCTTGTTCCAGCCACCAGCCGTCGACCGGTTGGTTGTGTGGTTGTGTTGTTTCTTTTTTCTTTCTTAAATTTTTCACTTTCGCGTGCTGATACGCTAATTTCTCATACCATCGCTAGCCTCGCATAACCTCGTCGGCACTGAATCTGAATGTGCCTATATGTACTTTGCAGGTGGTTGCAGGACGCAGGACCTCCTCCAGGACCTCCAGGAGTTGCAGGACCTGTCCTGCGCCCTCCCCTACCCCTTCTCCCCGCTTCCCCTGCCCTCCTTCCGCCCCTGGCCATCCCGTCCCGTTCCCGTCCCGTTGCCCTGGTCCACCGCGTTCCGCGTTCGACGTGTGAATGTGGACGTGTGCTCTGGCAAGACGAGCAACCGTGTGCCTGTACCGCTACAAGCACCGAGCAAAGCAACGAATCTCAAATATTTTGGTGCAAAATGGCTGTCCGACGATCTTACAGTGATAGAGATTCACTGGACAATCACAAATCCCGTCAGGATGAGCCGCCGAACTCGCGACTGTTTATCGTTCATCATAAAAGCATCACTGAGGATGACTTCAGAAAAGCCTTCGACAAATATGGTAACATAGAAGAGATTTGGATGTTGAAGGACCGCGCAACGGGGGATCTGAAAGGTAACGGCATCGATGTATTTTTAGGGTCACATATCTTTCATAAATTTCTCCTCTCTTTACAACCCTAACCTAGTCGAGTCACTTTTGACACCTTCAGCTGTAAAGTTCCTGCGTTACTGTATTGAAATGTTTTCCCCTGTGTCATTTGGTTCCATTTCGAAACGCTAGTGTTCTCAAATTCATGATTGAAAGCTCTTTCACTCCAGTGAAATAATTGGCCTGTGAAAGTTTCGCACTCTGAGACTGTCAGTTTTGGCTTAAATATTTGTTGATTTCATATAAATTTGTTTTCAGGTATTACTTACATTAAATTTTCAAAATGCTCTGAGGCTGCATTGGCTTATGAGGAAATGAATGGCCAAGCTATTGAGGGAAATCCACGTCCTTTGAAAGTTATGATTGCTCACAGGTATTGTTTTTCCGAAACGGTTCTCTTTTCTTTACCAAAGTTGTTAAAGTATATTGTCTGTTCTAACTCAATGATCTTACAGCCGTGAACAGGGGTCCAAACGAGAAATGAATGAAGATGAGCGGTTGACACGTCTTTTTATCATTGTTCCAAAATCAACCACAGACCAAGAGTTACGGGACCATTTTAAACAGTTTGGAGACTTAGACTATGTATCTGTTGTCAAGGATAGAGAAACAAGGGAAAGCAAAGGGTTTGCTTATGTAAAATACCACAGGTAAATATCTAGTGAAAGCTGATGCTTTTATGTTCTATATTTCCTGGCATAAATCACTCATTGTTTCTCTCTGTGGTAGAATGTCACATGCTGCCAAGGCATTTGAAGACTGTGATAGATCATACAAGGCAGTTTTTGCTCAACCCAAAAAGCCTCGTGAGTTTTCAGATTCTTTCTCTAATAATAGAGATGGTGCAAACTCAAGGCATGAGGGTTCCAGAAACAGTAATGGATTGTTTGAAAGCCCTTCTTATACATCTTATGCTCGTAAGTATAATCAAAAAAATGAGTAGGATCCTTTTGCTTTCAACATTTATGTGACTAACAGTAATGATATGGTTTCATTTTTGTCAGCAGTGGATGTGGGCCAGGGGTACCCAGAAACAGGGTGTCGAGGTCTCCAAGTAATTGCCCCTGCCGTTCTTACTCAGGATCAATTATGGCGTCTTTTTGACCTTGTGCCAGGCCTGGATTATTGTCACCTTAAGTCTGATCCAAGATCTCGGATGGTGGGTTTGCAGCAAGTAATAGTTTATCATATTGTCTCTTTTATTGACTAAATCTTATCTTCCTTTGTAGTCTCGTGGCACAGCTACAGTTGTGTATCATAAAGCCTCACAAGCTGCTTATGCTAAAGACAAATTGCATGGATTTGAGTATCCACCTGGTCAGCGACTTATAGTCAAGGAAGACCCTTCAGTTCGGTCAGGAGATCCTCTCAGGTAAGTCAAAAGTGTTTGATCTCCAGTTTAGATGCTCCACTGTTGCTTCATTTTGAAGAAAGTGATAAAATAATCCAACACTTACAATTGCTTTTGCAGCAGCCCCTCCAGAGCACTTGCAGCACGTGCCACAACAGCTGTTGCTCCTTCCGTTGATATTCAGAGCAATTTGGCTACCCTTGTTGACACTTTGGCCCAAGCCACATCCATGATTCAGGCCGCTGGATTGGCAGTACCTGCCCTAACACCAGCCAGGGCTGCTTTGGCTGCTACAGGTGCTAAAGAAATTACTTTCATGTTGAACTTCAAGTTGTAGCAGTAAGAATCTAATTCATTTTTTTCAATCAGGAGGGCTGAGTCCTACAATACGCCCCGCAAATGACCCTAATTACTGTTCAGCTAAATTACCTGCTGCTCAGCCTTTAGCTCACATTGAATCAGAGGTTAAAGAAAGGTTTGTGATGTTTTTCTTTCTTCTCATTAACTATTTGAAGGCGCTGAAAATTTTTCCACTAACTCTGTCTTATTGTTTTTCAGGTTATTTATTGTTTGCTACCCTAAAGCACCCCCACTACATGCTCTAAGAGATGTATTTGGGCGATTTGGAAGTCTTATTGACATATATATCCTGAACGGAAAAAACTGTGGGTATGCACAATATGCAGAGAAAGAATCTGCTGAAGAGGCTATCAAGGTATTAATTTGTGGTGATGTAGTGGTGAAGTAGTCTCTAAGTTTAGTCTGTAACTTGCAATTTGTTTCTTAAGACGTTGCATGGAGAAGAGATTTTGAGCATGCGACTCAAAGTTATGGTTGCTGAGCCTTACACAGGCGAGGACCGTAGGAAGAGGATCAAAATGGATGTTGACAATTAGGTAAGTCATATTGCTCGTTTCTTTGCATCTTGATGATCCAATTATTTTCAAAATAATTACATATTGTGGGTGAGTGAAAAACTTGCTACAGTAGATTTCTGTTGCTCTTGTTTCTTCACCCTTGCTTGATTTGTTTCCCTTTCTTAATCAGCTTCTGGTGGATGGTAAATCACTTTTGTGTTTATCTTGACTCAAGTATGGTATGTACTTTGTCAAGTAAACAATCTTTATCAATCCCTCTTTCAATTGTTGTTAAAGAAATGTTGCTTTATTTCAAACAATTTTTTACCCCCTTTCATCATTGCTCATAGTATAGTCTGGTGCATGTTACGCTGTGCAGTACAGAATGGTGACTTGGCTTGGGTTCCTGATGGGTTGCAATCACTCATTGATCTTGTGATAGTTGAAGACTGATAAATACTCTGTCGGTTGCTCTGTGATAACTTTAGTATGCTTGTTTTTGGAAGCCATTTAGCTTAGTTGCTCTGGTTTCATCTTGCTTTGATAGTTGCTAGAATTAGTTTTCACATTTTTTAAATATTTTTGGGTGGGGGTGGGGACTGTTTATTTTGGTTATGAATGATCAATACTATCAAAGCTGAATAGATCATATTTAAAATGGAACTGTAAGACATTCCTTTCCTTTATCATGTTTATAATAACCCCTAATTGATCACCGCTTAATAACAATTTCTTTTTGGGGCTAGTGGAGTGGGTCCATACAGTCTGGAAAGTTAGTTTTGCCCCCAGTCTCCTTCTCCTATTGTGTGTGTGTATGTGGGTGTGTCAGCGTTTGTAATTCGGTTTTCCTAACTCAATTCTAAAATTGATTCTAATATGCACCACTCTGCCAATTGACATCCTTGCTTGACAGAATCTTTAACATTTGAGTCTCACTATTTTACTTTGCATGACCAGACCACAGTAGACAAAAAGAACCTTCTTTCTCTAACCTAAATCCTTGTTTGAAGGGTGGACAAGACCAAGACTAGGCATGGGACCTTGTTGGAACCACTGAGGAACTATGGGACCTTCCACAGAACACAATCTGTGTATTCTTTTCCACATAGCTGTTGATATAATCTCTAGATTAAACATCTCTAAATGAGGAGAGAAAAGAGTATATTTCTGACCTTATTATATTTATCTTAACCATTTGGTGGAGGGCATAAACTTGTAACATTTGTAACTGCAATACAATTAACATATCCTAGTTAAGTATTGTTTTGTTACGTGGTGCTTAATGTGCACCACTGGGTCAAAATTGACTTCTTTTCTTTTGTCTGGGGATGGTTATTGGTTGCTTAAATAATTTTAAAACTTTTCCAAAGTTTAGGTTACAATATGAAGTATGCGCCATAACATGAGGTAGTTAAATTTAAATAAATATCTTCTAACCTTCAAAAATTCTTTTTTTTTTTTTTTTTTTTTTTTCATCTTTAGTCTTTTTTAATCATTTATTTTGTCTTTTGAGCCCTGCGATGACAACAGTCTGTTCTGTGCAGCTATGTACACTGTTTTTGTGTTTGTTTGTACAGAGAACAATAAGACAAGCTGACTGGACTCGACTTAGAAGGTCCACCCGGACTGCGCGCTGAGCGCGGGACTTCCACTGACGTCACGTGACATAGTGGGACACAGTGGCTTCAACGACAAATTTGACTGTGCCTCCATCCTTGCCACCCATTCTGCCTTTTTTACAAGTCGCTACAAGAGAACCTACTTAAATTAATTCCTTGGACATAGATTTTTAAGTATTTTGTCACCCCACATGCAACTTAAGAATTACATCCCCCAACTTGAGTACAAGAGAGGACGTAATATTGACAGATTTCATGGAGGAGAAGTCTTAATGCTTCATCATTTTACGATTCACACAGTAACAGCCAATTTAGAAAATTTGGCGTGACACTTTCTCCTTGTTTTTAGCTGTGATGCGAAACAATCAAGACTGGATGAACAATTTGCTTTGGTTCATTTGTTATGTTTATCTGGGCATACAATGTTAATGTGTACCTATGGGTTGGGATGTGTACAGGACTACACTTGGGAGTAGTAGCTTGTGTTGGACGTTTGTGTGCCTTCCCCTTTCTTGTAGATTAAATTTTCCTTCTGGGGTGTAAGGTAAATGCCAGGGTCATCATTGAGGAGCAGATGTTCTCTGGAGGTCCTTTTCCTTTCTGTTTGAAGGATGCTCTTGTCCTTCATTGTAGATTGTTTGTACATGCCTAGTACATGTTCCCTTATGTTATAGTTATTCCTTGAGTACCTTTTGAATATGCAATTCCACTTTTTGGAGTGCATACCACATCATATTTATAATTTTCTTATTAAAAGTCAATATCATGTCTGAAAATGTTCTATCTCTAGGAACAATTCAGGGACAAAAGTAATTTTTGAGTGAAAGTGTGTGCTTTAGCATATTCTTCCTGCTATGGCCTATGCCTTCTCTTTCATCATCTGTGTATTATTAAATTGGAGTTCTGATGAACTTGATACACAGCTGTGTTATTAATCCTTGGACTCTTCAAAGTGTGCACTTTCAGTAGAAAGTGTACTTTGAAACTTTGTTGTGTACATGGCAAAAATTTGTGAGTTTTAGCAGCAGTTTTCTGCTTGAACTATAATAGGCCTTTTAAAATTTTGACTGTCCACTTAAATACCAATGAAAATAATTCTGCTCTGCAGATGATAGGGACTGATCATTTTAAGTATCTCAATTCCAACACTCATCATGTCCATCATTTTTCTGAACAACTTGTAACAGTTGAATTCAGATGGAAAAACAAATACATCTCCCTAGACTTAAGTTAATTGTTAAAATTTGCTATGGTCTGTAAATGCAAATGCGCCAAGCTGTTTTCCCCAGGAGAGGAATTAAAAACCTGGAAGTTAAAAGGGCTGCCCATCTCAACAAGAGCGTGATAAATTTGTTTTTCTTCGAATATTTTACGTTTGGTCTGTGATTCAAATTATTAAAACTGTCATAAAGAGCTGACCAAATTCGTCTTGCAATAACTAATGTTATTTATTAACTAGTGATTTCTATTTTTTTGGCTAGTTGAAGTACGGGAACATTAGTCCTTGGTTTTTGCTTGTCACGGGAGTGTCAGCAGCATAGCTATATGTTTACACAAGAGAAGTTTTGTGAATACAACCAATAAATGTACTAGAATAAGCTATTTCTTAACTATTTATACATATTTAAACATATACATGAAAGAGTTTTTTTTACTTTAATTTAAACCCCCCCTTTTTTTCTGGCTTGTTTGTGATTGGTGGATGCTTGTATGACTGGCTGCTTTGAATGTTTTTGGAGAGATTCCTAACTGGGCTCTTGTGTTGAAATAAACATGACACAGAAATATGACAGCATTAATGCCAACCTTTTGTCCTCAATGCTAAATAGTTAGACTGCATTATATATAACTTTTCTTTCTACAACTAGTTGCCTTTCATTTTTTTATATGTTTTTAACTTGCTGAACAAATCAAAATCAACAGCATTATTGGTACATAGTTAGTTATGCATGTCCAATTAATATACTGGGAAACACTCTTCTAGGGTAATGCGAGTGTTAATTTGCTTGACCTTGCATTATGCTCAAGGTAGGTTCCGATGGTAAGTGTCCCAAAAAACGCATGGTTGGATCTTCATCTGCAGGTTTCTTTCCAAATTATTTGATTTGAAATATTGAGTTAACACTGTATGTACCATGAAATAACAGTGTCTTTGGTTTCCTTCCTATCTAGGTTATTGTCATAACCTGTTGTATTTCTTTGCTTCTTGCTTAATAATAAAAGTAAGTGAGGGTAAATGATATAAGTCTGGTTTGACTCTCTTTTTTCTGAAAGTTATTTATGTCCACCATCAACCAAAGAAGACCGGCATCACATGTCTCACAGCACAGTATCACCAGAAAAGTCTGTGACAGTTTGGAATGTTCAAACCTGACAAAGTTACATCTCGCATGCCAAAAAAAACAAAAAAAAAAAAAAACGGAAAACAGATTTGTTCTGAAACCAAAGGAAACAACAAACAAAACATCTAGGAATTATTAAAAGTTCATTTTGAAAACATTAAGATAAGGCTTGTATATCGCTCGCAGAGAAACGAGCTTCGCATTAATTTTGCCATATTTGTGAAAAAGAATCATCTTTGAGAACACACAAACATGACTAAAAAGATTCTGCAGCCTCCTCAAAAATGTATTTTTACTGGCATCGCTTGGTCAATAGTACAAAAATATACAAACAACTGAAAACTAGTGGATAGAATAAGAAAATTTTCAAAAGCACTTAGTTCAGTTCAGCAGGTTGGATACTGGGGGCACGGCCTGGACGTACCCCCGTCGGGACGTTCCCCCCTGTTTTATTAGTATTTCTTACAATATATTTATTGAATATTTTTATTCGATGGATATTGTTATTAATTCTTTTCGAGTTGACAGAAATAATCACCCGTCGTCCCAGGAATATTTTTTACATACGTTTATGATAATCAAAATGTTCTCTTCTCTCGAGCTGCATGCGGAATTTGTAATGGTAGTGCGGGGTAGATGCGCATGCGGACCGACGGATGGCTTCCCTAAAACTCTGACACTAAAGGGTCCAACCTGTCTTAACCAAACCTAACGGGCTAGCGACAGATCTTATGCTACTCGCAACAGATCTTACGCTACTCACAACAGATCTTACGTCGTGACAGATCTTACTCTACTCACGACAGATCTTAATCTATTCCTGATAGATCTCATCTCGCGATTGATTTTAGTCTACTTCCAGCAGATCTGAAGTCGTGACAGGTCCTTCTCTACTCGCGACAGATCTTGGTCTACTCGTAACAGATCTTACACTGTTCGCGCCAGCTCTTCGTCTACTTGTGACAGACCTTGCGAGAAACTCCGTATGTAGCTCATTAGAGAGAGGAAAATATTTTGACTATCTAAAAAATATTCTTAAATATTTTTGGGACGACGGACGATTATATCTGTTTATTCCAGAGTGAATTAAAATAATATCCACCCAATATATTTATTCATTAAATATATTGTATGAAATACTATAAAACAGGGGGGAACGTCCCGACGGGGGTACGTCCCGACGTTTCCCGATACTGGGAGGTGCCTGATAAGTTCTTGAGAATATTTGGTACATGTCGAGCACATTTACACATAAAGAGTATTTTAATAAATTTACAGACACAGATTTATAACGACATAGCTAGATCATGAGACAAGGGTGTCCTTGTGCCCAAGTCTCATGTGTAGAAGAATAAAGGTAAGGCTGATTAAGGGAGTATGAAGAATGAAACCAAAAAAAAAAAGCCTTTCATCAGCAGATAATTTAAATTCTGTAACTCTATAGATTTGCAAGGAATTTTCACATTTGAGCTCTTAAGAAAATTTGAATGACTTCATAACGTAATGGGGAAACTTTCCTTTTCCTCACCATTTAAAACTACAATTCTTGTTCACTTGAAATAATAGATTAAGATAGACAACAATAAAGACAATAATAAAGAGAAGAATATCAAAAATATAAAAGCGCTAATAAAAGGAAAATATATTTAACATATCCAATGGCTTTGCCATTCCGATATAATTGATTTAAACCTGAAAAATGGCATTTTGGCCGCAGGCTTTTTTAACAGGTAATAATAATATGTCTCAACAGTGAAGTAAAAAACCCCACTTGGTTTAACTGCCTTTCTAATTGACTAAGTCAGGGGGTGGCTATAATCACATGAACAACAATGTTGAGACAAATTTAGTGCATAGCGAGCTCATGGTGCAAGGGTCATGAGATTACTTAAAAATTCAAGGTTTCTATAAAATAAATGGTCCAACAAGGTATCACAAGCATAACATTTCAAAATTCATAGCTCACTTGAATTTAGAATAGTACCATAGTCACCAATGCTACAAGAGGCTGAAATATTTGCAAGTTACCTTTATCTTACAGCATATCAATAGCTTCTCATGAAATGGTCACATTGCCCTACACATTGAAATACATTACAAAAAGGAATGCTTGTTTAGAGATTGGTTAACAAAAAAATACTACTTAATTTTGAGATGTTAAAAATATAAAGAATAACAATCCTGCATCTGCATCAGCATCATTCACATTAGGAAAATCTCAGACTAAAAATAAAAAAAAAGATGCTGCAACAGAACAATGCATTACCTACATCAGTCAATTAATAAAGATGGGCAAATAGGACTGTTTCCAATTCAATTGGTGTGCAAAACAATCAATCCAATTGATCAAAAGACTCAAACCATGAAAGTCAAGAATAGTTTTGAGAGCTATGGTTGGGTACATGACAGTTCATCTTACACACCAATAAGTGGAGAACGTCTATGTATTAAAAAATCACCAGGAACATACAGATATAATTGAATAACTAAAGCTTCCCGATCACAATCTCTTATCCTGACTAATTAAAAAATAATTTACATAAATAATAAGTAGACATACCGCTGAAGCTATTCAATTGAACCTGTGAAAACTTACACAACATAACTTATGATTTTCTGTTGCTTAAATGGTTCCAACATCATGCCTTGAAAAAAGAAATATTGTAAAAAAAACTTGCTTTCTTTTCAAACAAAATAGTAAAAAAAAAATTGTTGAAGAGATGGAAACTTATTTCAAGCTAAGAGGAAAAAAACAGCCAGTCAGCTTGTCACAGAATAAGAATTCAGAAACTGAGAGGATGTAAATGTTCAATAGTTGAAGTTTTGAACACACTCATTACAAATTCCTTCATCACTTCCACTTTCTAAAAAATGTCTTTAAAGTCACTAAACATAAGTGCTCAGAGCACAAATGAAGCATGAGCATGAGCCACTGCTAAAAATTAACCATAGGCAACCAAAATCAGTGACCAAAGTATCAAATATGTAGCGGAAAATAAGAATAAGAAAGAAGGATAAAACATGGAAATCAAGATCTCTGACAAAGGGTTGACAAAGATGAGGTAAGACCTATTTCAAATATTCAGCCAGTTCTTTGCAAAACCAACAGTTTTCAAAGCTTTTACTTACACAGTCACAAACTTAACTTCTCAAAACTACAGTCCACCCCTTCAAAAGAGGTTGTGCTTGTTGCAACCTACAAGCATTATCAAATGTTGACCTTGAAGTTAGATGTTCTTTACAGCAGAGATGCAGCACCCTCATCTAAAATCCAATATAGTTTTCCATCAGTAGGCTTTACTCGGTATGATGGGAGATCCTCTTTATCCTTCAGTATCCTCTGTGACAAAAAAATACATTATTGCATATAACTATAAGAGAAGAAACTGCTATAAGCAACACAAGTGACAGTGCACAAGGGTACTTTTGCAGCATAAACACACCTTGACCATGTCTGCTTTGCCTTGGCCCGCAATAGCAAATATGCAGTTCTCAGCATTGTTAATTATTGGGAAAGTGAGTGTGATTCGACTTGGAGGTGGTTTTGGAGAATTGGTGATGGGGGCAATCCAAACAGAGGTTTCATCAAGCAAGCGATGGCCAGGGAACAAGGAGCAGGTGTGGCCGTCAGGTCCCATGCCAAGAAGAAGAGCATCAAATCGAGGCAAGCTGTCAGGTGCGAAAAATGGCGCCATCTTCCGGATATAATCTCTAGCTGCATCTTCAGCTGGAATGTTGACAAGTGTTAAAACATGATGTAGAACTGTGGAAGGATCAATAAATTATACAAGACTTACCTGCTAAGTGAGGATCAATTTGAATGAACTGACTCTCTGACAAAGGAATTTTGCCAATGAGGGATTTACGGTAAGCTCCAAAGGTTGAATCGGGACTTTCAGAAGGTACAACACGTTCATCGCAGAAGAACAAACGCCATTTACTCCAATCAGTTGTTATTTTTGGGAGTCCCAAAGCCAGAAAATTGATCAATGAGCCTCCTGTACGAAACAAAAGGGCAACAGGTATTAGTTTGCTGGATATGAAATAACAAATTGTGAAGGCTTGACCTGCTATTGCATTCACACTTCATTGGGCCAAAGAAAGCGATTGATATCACTTATGTCAGTTGCATAAAAGGTAACAGGCATCCACAAAGAATACTGCTGATTAAGCAGAACATGATACTGATGCATTCATCACTAGTCAAGTGAGGTAAGTTAAAAGCCGAAAAGTCGGTAATCTGAAGCGTACTCAAGGGCAAGACACCATTATTCTAACCTGACAATCCAATCTTGAACACATCTTCCGTTTCAATGGCTTTATTCGCCACATCTTGGATTAAGTTGCACAGACTCGTGATGACGTCCTCCTCTGTTTTGACACGAATTATTTGGGGAGAACTCATGGTTGAAGAAGCCGATGACTAGGCATGAAACGATAAATTAGTGAGCCTGGGCCGCTGTCTGCTACTGCTACGCCTACCGACCGCGACTCCGCTCCGCGTCCCGTCCGCGACTCAACCCTTTCGCCACCCGCTAGGCCGCTAGGGGGAATGTCGGATCGGATGATGTCGTGCGTCGGTTCGGATTATCGTACGCGCTGGCTGTCCGACACGACCGAATCGAGTCTAATTTTTGGAACAAGTTATCCGGAAAGAAAACCTTGAGAGAATCTTAATACAAACGTACAATTTTAACTGAAAACCGCGCCAACGGAATGACTATTTTGGTTTTGTTGATGTGGTACGTTCCTTCCGTTCACCTGTTTTTCCGGTGCCGTTTGGTTGTGTATGAGAAATATAGCAGCCCCTAAATTCGTGTTTACATTAACAGCACACACGTGAAGATTTTAGCTTTTCCGACATTAATTGGCCTGGATTAACGGTATGTTAGCGAATCTACAGTTCTATGAACTGCATTCTATAACTGGACTGCTTTTGTTAAGTGTAGCGATATTGTCATTGTTAAGCCATCTTCCCTTGCAGCAGTTTTTCCTGTGCAGTGAGGTTTCCTTTGGTTATGTCCCTCACCTGCAGACTGTTTATTCGTTTATTCTCTTTATTGTTCCATTCTGCTTTCTTTACGGTGTAACTGTTTGATCGTAATTTTCATTTTATTTTATCTTGTCTGATTTCATGCTACTTTCAGTCTCCAAATGGATAACAACAAAGATATTACGGATGTCGTTCAAGACAAGAAACTGACCCCTCAAGAACTGGCTGCAAAATTAGATGCTGAACTTGATGAATTCATAGGCGGTCTTGAAAGGAAAGCGTACACAGAAGGATGGCCAGAAGACAGATGGGAGGAGGTAAGTTCTCAGAACATTAAAAGGATAAACTGTTTTTCAAATAAATTTCTTGACGAACATGTCTCATCTTTGACTTCATTTGTAGGAGATGGAGAAACATCCATTCTTTATGACCAAGGCACCTGAACCAGGAGAGGAGCTATCTCCTCTAATGGAAGGAATTCAGCAGCTGAAATACGACGAGAATGAAAATACCCCAGAAGGTGTGGCTATTTTATCTAAAACCAAGGACTTCCTTACATTGAACCACTCGTGGTCAAACCATAATTTTCTATTTTTTGTCAAAATGCTTATTAGACAATATTGTTTTCAGATCTTGCAATAGCTTACAAAGATGACGGAAATTTTAACTTCAAGTGTAAAAAGTACCGCCGTGCAATCATAGCTTACACTGAGGGCTTAAAGAAAAAATGCAAAGACGATGAAATAAATGCTCAATTGTACAATAATCGATCAGCATCCAACTTCTTCTTAGAAAATTACAGGCACGTATATCTTCATTTTAAAATAATGACATATGTGGTTGGTTGTGTAAGTGATTTTGTTTGTCAATGTTTCGTATATTGCATACAATATTTTTACCTGGTCAATTTCTACAGATCAAGTCTGAATGACTGTTTAGCTGCTTTAAAGTTAAAAGAAGATTATCCAAAAGCCTTAAACAGAGCTGCAGAGTGTTTATTCCATTTGAACAAGTTTGATGAATGCATCGAATACTGTGATAAAATTATTGCCAGAAACGCTGATGACAAAGCTATCACAGTTTTGCGATCTAAAGCAACAACAGCCAAGGTCAGAGAACACCTAAGTTGAAATATCTGCGTAACTTCTCAAAAATAAACCGTATCTCTAATTTTTTTTAGAAAGTTGCTGATCGTGATAAAAGAAGACTGCAAGCAGCAGGAAAAAAGGAGGAAATGCAAGGCTTAAAATTGTTGGAAACTGTTCGCAACAGAAATATCAAGTTTAAAAGCAAAGGTATTTAAAAAGAAAAATATGTGCACTAATAACAAACCTGGGTTGCAACCAATAACTTTTGTAATCTCTCTCTCCTTGAATTATAGACTCTGCAGCACTGAAACTGTCTGACTTAGAACCCCAGTTCCCCGATGCTGTTCGATCACGTGTGCATATTGATGAAAATGGCAAACTTGTCTGGCCTGTTATATTTATGTATCCAGAATACAAGTTGACTGATTTTATTCAAGCATTTCATGAGGATGAAATGTAAGTTCCTGCATCTCATGACATTGATTTTTGAATCTTCTTAATTCATTTTATCATGCTGACCATGCCAATGTGCACACTTTTCAGCTTTGAAAACATGCTTTGCGAGGTCTTTGCTGAGCATCCTGAGTGGGACCATGAGAAGAAATATGTCCCTGTGAATCTAAGAATATACTTTGAAGATGAAAATGCGCGCATGCATAACATTCCAACCACATGGACTTTAGGAAAAGCTCTAACACACAGCAAGTAAGTTGAAAGTAGCATATTTAAATTGAAACTTCAAAGCCCAAAGTCTATGCCTTCCCTAACTATACAAATGCATCTTGTAGGTACATTCTTCAGGGCGGAACTCCAGGATTCATGATTCTTGTTTCTGGCAGTGATGCAGAAAAGTTATATATTAAGAAGTAATGTGTGCATCCATGTTGTTAATTGTAATGTAAATAAATAACTTTATTTAAAAAAGAGTTAACTTGTGTTCAACAGTTTTCCTGTACCTTGCTGTCATCAAATAATTGTTTGAAGTAAACGACAAAACGAACGTTTTCGCGATCCTAAAATACCCTCAGCAACAAGCCAGAGCTCGAGCTGAGCTCGTCAATAGATCTGCGGCAGTTAGTGCCACTTTATAGGATGCTGCAGTGGAGTACGCTTGCCAAACCACGCGCGTTGCCGCCTACCCGGGGTCCTTCGGCGGGCCGAAAGCGCCTGTGAACCTCAGGGTAGGCCATTGCGGACACCGGCGAGGGGCGGGTTGCCTACCCGGGTCCCGTGGCAGGCTGAAGCGCCTGTCAACCTCAGGGTAGGCCACTACGCGAGTTGTGGACAGCGGCGAGAGGTGGGTTGCCTACCTGGGTCCCGTGGCAGGCCCCACACACACACCCCTTTGTCGGGGAAAGAAGGGGGCACTCTTGGGCACTCTCGTCATGACGCCACCAACAATGTAGATGGCAGCGCGAAACTGCAGACCGATTCCGAGGGTTGTTTTCGTCGCTCTGTCCTTCTCGCTCTCATGGGGCGCCCTGCATTGGTGCGAGAAAGACAGCGACGAAAACGAGCCTCGGAATTGTTAAATTTGTCATATTTTTACTTGCTAAATTTTGTTTGTCGAAGTTGGCACACTGCCGTGTTGCTTTTGTTTTGTATGTTATTCCCCACTTCTTCTCACTGATGTTTACTTTGCTGTTCAAATGCCGTCAAATAAATCAGTCATCAGGAAAACGTGAAACGAGTCTGTTCATTCATTCAGCCTTGGAACAAACTGTGACTCGAAACTTGGAACTCAGAAATTAGAAAGTTACAACTCTGCAACAGGAATTCAGTGTGCTGGCTCGGCCAGACGCAGACTGGGCCTGGAGCGGGCCGGGCCCCCGCGGCGCCCGGGGAGCAAAGGCACACAACAAGACGCGGGGCGCGGTCCAGGTCGGCGTCTCTTCATGGTCTCGTCCAACTCGGCCTCACGGAGGCGTGCCGCCAAATAATTGCGGAGTGACCCGATCCGGCGATTGATAAGCCGTGGTGGATTAAGGCACGCGCCATTTCCAGTGCGACTGGCTTGGATTGGTTGGCTGGCCCGGTGGCGCGAGGGAAGGCCTGGGGAAGGCCGTGCCGAGGCCGTGCCTTGGACGCCTTGGTGGCGGCTGGACCGGCCTTTTTGGCGCGCCGCCACTACGGCGGCGGGCTGCCCCGCACAGTGCTTTCGTCGCTCTGTCTACCTCGCTCCCCTGCCAAACGCCACCTGAGTGCGAGAGAGACAGCGCGACGAAAGCTCTGCCCGGAATCAGCCTGCTGGAGGCAAGGGGAAGGGGGCGTGTTTGGGTGTCTGGCCACAGGGGCGGTCAAGAGACTGCCAGTCTGCCACACTGTACGGTACCGGTCGTGGCCAGAAGCAGGCTCAGTTCGAGAGTCGTTTTCGTCGCTGTCTCTCACACCCATAAGCAGCGTCGATGACCGACTGCAGCGACACCCGCAAGGCGCTGGCTAGGCAGCCCTTGTTGCTGCCCAGAACAGTCTGCCTGAGAATGATTTTGGCACGCCTAGAAAATCACTCTTTTCTAATTGAACCAGTGTGCCCCTTGGTGGGCCGGCGGACAAGCGGATATTGCAGACTGACTCCGAAAATCCCTGTCTTCCCTGTCCCTGTCGCACTCATGTGGCGTTCCGCAGGGGTGCGAGAGAGACAGAGCGACGAAAACGACTGTCGGAATGAGTGTGCTGGCGGTAATCCGGCAGAATCCGGTCGTCCTCGCGCGCTCCATTCGTTGCGCGAAACGGGGCGGCGGATTGGACGGGGCGAGAACGATGGCGGTTCGCGATACACGGTTTGGCGTTGGGCCGAGTGCGTGTGTGTGCCGATTGCCGATCTGCAGACTGATTCCGAGAGTCGTTCTCGTCGCTCTGTCCCTCTCGCTCGAGCGAGTCCCGAAGGCTGGTCGCCCTGGGCGTTGACGGGTTGGTCCCGGGTTGGTCCAGCCAGCGCCGAATCCCATTAATCGAGTGTCTCCGACTTTTGGTTGGGGTCAGTTACTGGAGGCGCGAACCAAGTGAAGAGTGTTTGCACAAACAACCCCACCGTAAAGGGAAACTACGACCAGTGGCGGATCCAGAGTCGGCCTGGTGGAGGGTCGAAGTAGCACTTGTTGCCTACTTACAGTGGCACAGTGTGACTTCTTGCTCGGCATTTCGCCCACCTTTCAGGCGGCCATCCAGGCGCCAAAGAGAAGGGGAGTCAATTGTTCATTTTGCTCCTCCACTGGATGCGCACCTGACTACGACATAGTTTATGTCACAGTGTGCCGGGCGTCAAGCGCGGGCAGCAGGTCGCACCAACGTGTCCGCTCGACGCGTTCACCGCGCATCTGCCCGTCCGGCAGTCCGACAGTGCGCCCGACAGGTTGGCACGGCTGGGCCCGTCGGGCCGGGCCCCTCGGCCGTTCCGCCCCGCCACCACCGCCAGCGCGCCGCGGTGCCCGAGTGGCTCGCGTTGGACTGGCGGACTGGCGTTGGAGTGGTGTGAGCGAGAGTGTGCACCGCGTTGTTGTTGTCGGCGTGTTGCAGCGGCCTTGGCGGCCTTGGCCTCGAGTGCCGCTCTTTCCCACCGCCTTTTCTTTCCCTCCTCGTCGCCGTTTTCCGCTTTTCGCGACCGTGGCGGCGGCCATGGCGCCGGCCAGCCTGGGCAGCTGGGCGGAGCGAAGGCAGCGAAGGGCGGCGGAGAAGACGAAGACGGCGCGTTGCCAGCCTTCGGGCCAGCCGGGACGGCCGGGACCGTGACGTAACGCCGACTAACCTCAACAGCGACCGGCTGCTGCTGCTCGCTAGAGAGAGGCTTCCCCGCGACCCGCCCCGCCCCGCCCCGCCACCATGCCCGCCGCGCGGCACCGCGCCGCCGCCGACGGGGACCTCTACACCGGCGACTCGGACTCGGAACGCTCGGAAGGTAGGCAGCTAACGCACCTTGAACCGCAGCGAATATGTTTCGATATGTCAGCACAGTGACGCGAGTGGGGAATTCCCTCGCTGGGGCGGGCCTCTGCTGGAGCCGTATGGACGCGGAGGCGGAGCGAGCCGAGCAGTATTCGTGCCCCCATTATCGACAATCGCCGATCGCCAGCCAACATTGACTCAAGTCGCGGAGGAAACGTCCAAGCAGACTGATTCCGAGAGTCGTTTTCGTCGCCCTGTCTCTCTCGCACCTCTACGGCGCGCCGATGAGTGCGTGAGAGACAGAGCGACGAAAACGACTCTCGGAATCGGCCTCCAGGGCGATCCAGCAAAGTGAGGCTTCAGCCGTGCGTGCTGTAGGGTACTGAACCTGGCCCCGAGCTTGCGTACCGAGCGTCGGCACCGACCGAAGGGTTGCCTACCCCGCTCCCACCGGGGCATCTGCGGGGTTGCGCGCCGGTTTGGCAACATATTGTGGAGAAGGGGCGGAGTGGGGGGAGCGGTACCGAGGGGGTGGGGCGTAGGCGCGTATCCAGGGGGTGGCCACACAGGTCATGACCCTCCCCCCGTAGGACATGCAGGTAGGCAACCCGCAACACAAGGCCAAAAGTGCAGCACGACCTCCTGAAGAAAAATCCGGACAACGCTTCGCGCATGGTGGGGCACGGACTGGGCCACTACACTGGGCCCCACGCGTTGACAGGTGTTGCGCTTTGGACGGACAGGTGTCAGGCCGCGAGCATCGCCCTGGCAGAGAGGCGCCAGAGGTTATCTGGACACATCTGGGGTGTCGGCCTGTCGCCTGTCCACACTGTCGGCACCATGCCGCCGGCATGCCGGCCCCGGGCCGCCGGGCTTCCCGCGGGGATCAGGCGCCACCCACTCACTCCGTCACCCCGTCGGCCTTATTGGCCATATGGTCCGCCTTGCGGCCTGCCCCGCCTGCCCCGCCCCTCCCATTCCGAACCCGAACGGTGCTCTCCTTGCTCTGCCTCTCTCGCGCGCATGTGGCGTCACGCGTGGGGTGCGAGGGAGACAGCGTTCGCAGTCAGCCAGCAGGCTGATTCCGAGAGCTGTTTGTCTCTCTCGCACTTAAGGGGCGTCCCGTGTAGGTGCGAGAGAGACAGAGCGACGAAAACGACTCTCGGAATCGGTCTGCTGCTCGGGGCCGCAAGCCGCACCGCGGGGGTGGTGGTGACTCCCTCGGGGTAGCGAAGGACGCCGCTCCCGACGAAGCTGGGAAGGGCGCCAGATTTCGACCCACTTTAAACAGCCGCCCTTATCAGGGCAGATAGATGTGTTAAGTCTCGCGACACACAGAGACTTGGCGGCGGGTAAACACCGCGGGGGGCACGGCGACTCCTCACCCCGCGAGACAAAGCGACGAAACCAGTGCGGTGGCCGCGGCCTCCGAGGGAGCAGGAGGAGTCAAGAGACAAGGCGGCGCCGCCATGGGCGCCGACGGCGAAGGCAACGCGACAGAAGCGCCGCCTGCCGGCCCCGCTGGGGGCAGCGCAGGTAACACAGTGGTGGTAATCAGGAGAGAGGGAGAAGGAAAGACGGGGGAAGACGAGGAGGGAGGGAGGAAGAGAGACATGGCGGATTCCAGGTGCCAGGTGCAAGTGGGTTGATTCCGTCCTCAAGTGGTTCGCGAGGCGCCTGGCTGGGGCGTCGTCGGCACTGCGGGTTGAAGCTGCAGCAGACTGATTCCGAGAGTCGTTTTCGTCGCTCTGTCTCTCTCGCACCCATACTGGACGCCTGACGAGTGCGAGAGAGACAGAGCGACGAAAACGACTGTCTGCAGGATCAACGACACGTTATCGCGACGGCTAAGTCGCCACTCCACCGTAAAGCTGTGTCGCTGTGCGTGGTGGAAGGTGGAACAGCGACAGTGTCGTGAACCACCCGGGAAATAATTATCATCGCCGTCAGTCACCAACGTTTTCATCATCATCGGCTTAAACCTAAATACACAATTCTATATTTTTCCTCAACAGGGTCCCCTCTGCTGGAGCGTGATCGTCGC